GGTTGTTTCAACATACAAGAATCAATCAATATAACACACCATGTTAAGAAAATAAGGGGTGAAAACCACATGATCACCTCAGCAAAGGTAGAAAATGCATTCTACAGATTAAAAACATTCAACAAACTAAGAACAGATGGGAACCTCCTCAACCTAATTAGGGTATTAACAAAAAACCTTCAGTTAACATCATACTTAATGGCAGAAGATTGAAAGCTTTTCCCCTAAGATCTGAAATAAGACCAGAATGCCTTCTCTTACCACTTCTATTCAACATTATACTGGAGATTCTAGCCAAGTCATTTTGGCTAAATAAATAAATAAAAAGCATCCAGATTGGAATGGAAGAAGTAATCTATTTTCTGATGTTATGATTGTCTATATGTAAAATCATAGGGAATCCACAAAACACACTATAGAGACATTAAATGAGTTTAAAAGGTTACAAGATTTAAGCTCAATATACAAAAATCAATTGTACTTCCATACAGTATAAATTAAGAAAAAATTTCATTTACAATAGTATTAAAAAACCACACAAAGCCATTTATATGAAATGCCAAGAATAAAAAAAATCCACATACATGGGAAGTAGATCAGTGGTTGCCATGAGGGAGTGACTGCTAATGGTACAGGGTTTCTTTTTTTCTTTTTTTTTTCTTTTTGTTTTTTTTTGAGACAGAGTCTCACTCTGTCACCCAGGCTGGAGTACAGAGGTGTGATCTCAGCTCACTGCAACCTCCTTTTCCCAGGTTCGGGTGATTCTCCTGCCTCAGCCTCCCAAGGGGTACAGCGTTTCTCTTTGAGGTAAAGAAAATACTCTAGAATCAGATATTTGTGATGGTTTTGCAACCTTGTGAATATATTAATACTAAAAATCAACTAATTGTACACTAAAGGTAGATTTTATACTATACGAATTATACTTCAATTTTATAAAGAAGACTATACTTAAGGAATAAATTTAACAAAATTATTATGTACAATTTCCTAGCTCTATCTGCTGAAAGAACCCGAGGGCAGCAGCATCCCAGTCACAGTAAGCACACCAGCACCCAAATCTTGGTTTCTGAATACTCTTTTCCATTAAAAGGAACCAGCACTCCTTGGAGAAATACCTGATTCTGGGACTGGGGCTGGGAAAGAAAGTACAAGATTACCTGCAATAGCTTATAAATAACAAAGTATAGAATGAGAGGAGTAAAGGGGACATATCAAAAGGACACAAGAGCCATACCGAAGGGGTTAGTCAACTTGTGTTGGCCAGGACAACTGCAGAATAATTTGAGCATCAAATAAATAGTTAATTATAATTTGTTCAATAATATGTATGAACTCATACATATTGAGATAAATGAATAAGTTAATAACTGGGACAGAAGAGAAAGCTCTATATTACCAGAGAATGCCAATAAGTAGTAATAACCTACCAATTAATAAGTAGAAAATACTTTTTCATTAACTTTATGCTGGAGGAACCAGGCATACATAATTTATACCAAGTACTGAAAATTAACACCACCAGCAATGGGACAAATCAACATACTATGCCTCCTGACATGATGCACTGAGAAGAACAAAGAATTATTCCTGTTGTGTTCCTGCCAAAGTTGCATCTACTCATGAGGAAACATCAGACAGACTCAAATTGAGACATTCCAAAAAATAACTGGCCTGTTATCTTCAAATGTGTTGAGATAGCAGAGAGTAAGCAAAGATTGAGGAACAGTACCAGATTGAAGAACACCAAAGAGATATGACAACTAAACACACAAATAGTCCTGGATAGGATCCTAGATTCACAACATATTTAAATGGTACAATCAAGAAAATTTGAAGAAGGTATGTGAACTCGAGGTATTAGTATTTTGTCAATGTTAGTTTCCTAATATTGGTGGTTATATTGTGGTTTTGTAGACGGTCTCTAAGAATCTTATGGGTGTACCTTATATTTCAACCAGGAAAAAGAAATGCTTCTAAGAATCTTAGGGCTGGCTGGGCGTGGTGGCTCACACCCATAATCCCGGCACTTTGGGAGGCCAAGGTAGGGGGATCACTTGAAGCCAGGAGTTCGACACCAGCCTGGGCAACATGGTGAAACCCTGTCTCTACAAAAAAATACAAAAATGAACTGGGCATGGTGGCATGTGCCTGTAGTCCCGGCTCCTCAGGAGGCTGAGGCAGGAGGATCACTTGAGCCCGGGAGTTCAAGGCTATAGTGAGTCGTGATCATGCCACTGCAATCCAATCTGGCAACAGAGCAAGACCCTATCTCTAACAAAATAAAAAGACTTTTAAGACTGTTGTACCACCACCCTGAGTCTCAGCCCAAGTGAGAGAAGGGCACTTCTTGGGAAGAAATATAGATATGTTTTTTGTCTAATGGAAAGAACTCCAGTAAAATTTATAGGAAATCCTCAAAGGTTTTAAGATAATTTTATTAATAGAAGTACTGCCCATTTGGGCTAAAGAGACAGAGACAATACAAAACAGATACCTTTGGGTTCCTTTATCAGTTTCCTAATGTCGCTGAAACAAATGACCACAAACACAGTGGCTTAAAACAACACATATATTGTCTTGCAGTCCTGGAGTTCAGAAGTCTGAAATGGGTTTTACTGGACTAAAATCAACGTGTCAGCAGGTCTCCGTTCCTTTTGGAGGCACTAGAGGAGAACCTGTTTCCTTGCCTTTCCAGCTTCTAGAAGCTGTTCACAATCCTTGACTGGTGGCCTCCTTCTTCCATCTTTAAAGTCAGCAATATGGTGTTAAATATCTTTAAATCTTTCTGACTTTGCTTCCATTGTCACATTTCTTTCTATGACTTTTAAGGACCCTCATGATTGCATTGGGACTACCAAGATAAACCAGCATAATCCTCCAATGTCAAGATCCTTAACCTAATCACATCTGTAAAGTCTCTTGTGCCATGTAAGGTAACACAGTCATGGGTTTTGGGAATCAACACATGCACATCTTTGGAGGGAGGGCGTGATTCTGCCTACCACAGTCCCTAATCTCTGGTCAGAACAGCTTCTATGGGAAGGCTACTCAGTTGGAAAGAGTTTGTGCAAGGTAGGAGCCTTGAAGCTTAATCTTCAAAACCTTCTGGGTAAATCTGCCTCTGGTAGTAATTAAGAATATGGAATCAGGATCCACATGACCTGGGTTCAAGTCCCTTCTCTACCACTTACTATGTATGTTGATTGAGTTGATGTTACAGATTGGGTTCTCTAGAAACAGAGGCTCAGATGGAGTTTGAGGTGCAAGATGTTTATTAGAGATCAACATCTATGAAAGGGAAAGGAAGCAAGAAAGGGGAGAGGAAGAAGTCAAAGAGGCTTGATGAAGCTTTAATCAAGGTGGCAGGCGTGCTGGAGCTAGTATTGCCTGTAAGAGTTTTCTCACGATGGACCAAAATGGCTAGGCCTTGATTCCCTCACCTTGCTCCGTTGCTGGATTAGGGTTGCCCCAGGAAGGAAATTTCCCTAGGCAAGGCTGCTCTCTGCTATAGGATAGACCCTAAAGCAGCTGACCGCTGGAGACTCTTCTGATCACATTCCCTGCAGCTGTGCAACAATTGTTTGAAGGGGGATCTGCGTGGTACATCTCCATGTCTACACAAGCAGTGGTGTGCTGGAGCTGGCTCACCCCAGCTCGCAAGAATTGATTGTTAGCATCTTTATCCAACCGCAGTCAGTGATGACATATTCTCATGTTGAAATCAGCCACTATGGGAGAATTGACACCACAGAAATTGGCAAATGCCACAAATCAGAATTTTAATTTTTTTCCTAGACAGCTGGTTTACAGCACACCTCAAATGTGGTCCAAATGTGATTAACATTGAGTAGGTTATTGATTGTCCCTACAACTCAGTCTTCTCATTGGTAAAGTGGGGCTAATAATACTATAAGAATACTACTACTACCTAGGCTGTAAGGTCAGCATGAGAATTAAATGAGTTAATACATATAAAATACTCTGGACAGCAATTAAATGAGTTAATATATGTAAAATACTCTGGATGGCCCCTGCCACACAGGAAACACTCAGTAAGTATTAACTGCTGTGTTTACTATTGCCATTGTTATTACAATTATTACCACCTTAAAAACTTCCACTGGATTTTCATAGAGGAAAAGCACCTAAATTTCTTAGTATGGCATGCAAAGGCCCTTCGCAATCTGATAGTTTCAAGCACAAGGAACTTCTCGTCATTTCTGGAACTCAAACTATTTTCCACCTCCAAACCTTGTCACGCACAGGTACCTTCTGCCAGGAAAGCCCACTCCTCCCTTGCCTGTCAACTTCCAATTTTTTTCATGCTTTTGAACCAGCACACATTATCTCCTCTCTGAAGCCCTCTCCACCCGCTAGATGAGGGTTCCTTCTTCAGTGTTGCCATTGCACATTGCAGAACCCTCAGTTACTCTGACAGCACTTTACTGTGATTACTTGTTTACATATCTGTCTCCTCCTCTGAGTCCAGGATTGGATCTGCTATTTCTCTGTGTAGTCAGCACATTAACATAGGTGCTAATAAATATTTGTTGAATGAATGAACATTGCCTAGGAAATGATTAAGAGGGGGGAAATAGAGTAAGTAGCCTAGTAGGCTATAATAATAGCAATATTTTTGTTTGCCTAAGTGACTCTAGGTATATTGTGTAAAGCAGTGACATCAGGACCCCAGAGTTTCAGGTTCTATAAGTCCTAGATTTGTCATACACTCACATCCTGACAGAGTCCTACTCATCCTTCAGATGGCTCAGATGTCACGCCCTCTGTGAGGGTTTTCCTGCCTGCTGCCCTCTTGCCGCTCTTTGCCTGCGCAGCTATTCACACACGCAAAATTGGCTCTTCTGTGGGGATCCAGTGGTGTTTGTGTATTCCCACTCCATGGTACAGAGGGGCGGATATTTTAGGGATGTTGTCAGCATGGTGTTAACAATATTTGGGGATGGTCACAGCCTTAGACCTGTGAATTCATCGCTCACCTCGCCCCCGCCTCAATTTCTCCCAGTGTGATGGGCACAGTGGAAACACCTTCACAGGGTCGCGATTTAGTGGAGGGCGGCTGACACTGATGTTGCAGGAAGCCCCCACGCATTCCGAGGAGCTGAGGGCTAGAGAGCGAGGTGAGGCGCGTCGAAACAAGGAAGGAGGCAGGGGGCGTGGGGCGAGACTGGGCGGCGGAGGCGACTGACCGGGGCCAGGGGGCGGGGCCTGAGCCGGGAGGCGGCGGGGAAAGGGGCGGGGCAGGCCAGGGCAGGAGCAGCTGGCTCCGCGCGGCCAGGACTGTCTGAGAAGTGCGCTAGCGCTGGCGATGGGTCCAGGGGCGCGGCTGGCGGCGCTGCTGGCAGTGCTGGCGCTCGGGACAGGAGACCCAGAAAGGGCTGCGGCGCGGGGCGACACGTTCTCTGCACTGACCAGCGTGTCGCGCGCCCTGGGGCCCGAACGCCGGCTGCTGGGGCTGCTGAGGCGGTACCTGCGCGGGGAGGAGGCGCGGCTGCGGGACCTGACTAGGTGAGGGCACGGCGAGTGGGAGCGACCGAGGGGCCTCAGTGGGAGACACTGTGCAGCAACGTGGGGTGACTCAGGTTGAGTGTGACCCCAGGCTCATTGTCATGCTGCGTGGGACCCCAGACCCACTGTCGCACCGTGCGACTGAGACATTGTGGCGTGGGATGGGGAGTGGCTCTGAGGGCCAGTGTGACCCCCCAGACCCATTGTCACACTGTGTGGGACCCCGACACTCCGTGGCATGAGGTGTTGGCGAGGGTTGAGTCACACTGTGTGGGACTGCAGACTCCATAACACACACGGTGGCACTGTGGAAGAGCGGGGTGGGGTGACTCAAGGACCTCACAATGTGCTGTGCGAAGCTGTATGATCCCCAGGCCCTGTGTCACACTGACACAGACTCAGTGGACGGTGCTGTGACAGAGACACTGTGAGAGTGAGATGGAGAAAATATGGTGACGCTTTAGCTATGCAAGTATTGACTTTTCAAGGGGCGATCATGAAACACCGCATGACCTAGTGAGCTGAAGTTTAGTGTTAGGAGTCAGGGGACAGTCTTCCACCATATGTGAGATTTACATGTCATTGGCACTGGATGGGTACGACGCTGTGGATATCATATTCTGCATGTGAGTGATGCTGAGTAACTGTACAGGTCGCTATATGAATAATGCTTCAGTTCATTAATTCATAGAACACATATTTTTGAGTGCCTACTAAGAGCCAGGCAGTGTTCCAGGTAGTGGGGATAAAATGGTGAAGAAGAGCCAACTCTGCCCTCAAGGAGTTCGGGTCTGTAGCACCATGACTGTGAATCAGAGATGTCCACAGCCCTCTACGTCTTCAGTTCTTCCTTCTCCTTACACATGTAGAAGCTCTCTAAATACTAAATAAATGATAACTGAGATGTTATATGTGTGTCAACATATTTGATATCAAAAAAGCACTGTGAAAAAACATACTTGATGCAGAAGATATTGAGTATAGCACACGGCAGTGGATGCTCAGCTAATATTGTTTTGATATACAATCAACAAACTCTAGTGCTACACACTGTGGCATAAAAGATTGTTAGACTTGGGATGCTGAGGCACCATAGTCATGTATCGACTTTGGCAGTGTCCAGCTGAGAAAAATGAAAGATAAATGATTGTATATGATACCATCTGTATGAATATGTGCTGCGCCTTCTCTGCTTGGGACATGAAGAAGCCTACAACACTGACAGAGTGGTTATGACCACGTCACTATTTGGATATATTAATATTGTACTTTTATCACGTGACCTCCTTCTCATTGAGCTAAGACGGCACAATGCACTGCTTTTAAAACTTTGCGTGAGTGTATGTGATAGTAATACTGATTCTGGGGTGACATGAGAAGAAGGTATGTGGAATGGGGAGTGACTCTGAGGTCCAGTGTGACCCCCAAACCCATTGTCACCCTGTGCAAAACTTTGAGACCCCATGACTGTGAGAGAGAGCTATGTAGAAGAAAAGCATTTTGTGGGTGGAAAGTATTTGTGAGAGATCTTGTTAATAGTGACTGAATGAGCTAATTTGGTGCTTGTCCTTAAGTATGTGGCTTGCATATAAACAGCTTGAAATAGTGTGACAATGTACAATATAGGTATGTATTAATTTTAACAATAAATGAAGATCATTTCAATAACTATTGTCACTTTTTGGTATAGCATTGTTGTCTAGTATTCTATGGGTCCATGCTGACTGAGTCAAATGTCTTCTTTTTGTTCATAGCCCAGAGTCATTGGAGTCCAAGCTTATTGATGGAAATAGGAAAGACTTTTTTCTGCTTGATTTCAGAGCCCAGCATGCTCCCTGCTACCCATGCTTGTTTTCATACCAGTAATCTCTTTCTTTGGGTAGCTCAGATGGAGATGGGAGTGGGGGGTCAGAATCCCTGTGCTGGTCTTTCAGGTTACATTCTCAGAAGAGAGCACTCAGAGCATTTTGGCCAAAGCAGCTGGCCGACCCCACTCCGCCATGCTGGTCTCTTTCACTGTCTTTCCACCATTATCATTGCCACAACTTTGTCGCAGCAGGAGGTCTCATACAAACCGTATCTCATTTGATTCTCTCTCACACACGGTGCTTTGAAATAGATTTGTATTACACTGTTAACTGTTGAGAAATCAGTTAAAACCCAAGAAAACTAAAGTCTAGTTGCTTATTCAAGATTGTATTAATAAATCTAACAGGTAGCAAATCCAGGACTAGGATACAGTTGTTTTGACTGTTTATCCAACTTTTTTCCTATTATGCTATGTTATCCCTACCGCTTCTTTTATCTGTTATACCAAGACATAGACCAAGCCCCTAACTAATTGAGGTTTTACTAGTGGCCACAGTACATAGTGGTTAACGGTAAATTCAGGAGTTTAACAGACCTCTATTTGAATCATTGGCTCTGATCTGGGACAAGTTACTTTACCTCTTTGAGCTTTAGTTTCCTAATCTTTAAAATGATGATAAACACAGTACCTATCACCATAGGGTTGTTGAAGGATTAAGAGTACCATGTAAAAGTATTTATCATTATGCCTGGCATGTAACAATTGCTGGACAAATGCTAAGCCTTTATGCTTATTATTTTATTTTATTTTATTTTAAGACCAACTAGTGAAACTAGGCCCCACTTTTGGCTCTGAGGATTAACTAGGATTGTGACAGCCTAGATAAAATACAAATCAGAAAAGTTCCCAATTATTTTCTCAGGTGACTTACGAACATTTAATTTTGTAGTTTAGTTTGATATTTTGAAGACTGGCATTCTATCATTCTGTTCTCTAGTGACTGCTCTAAAACCCAGTGAAATGTTTGCTTTTTAAGAGACAGGGTCTTGCTCTGTCACCCAGGCTAGAGTGCAGCGGCTCTATCATAGCTCGCTGTAACCTCAAACCTGTGGCTCAAGTGATCCTCCTGCCTGAGCCTACCAGGTAATTAGGACTACGGGTGCGCACCACCATGCGCACCATGCCTGGCTAGGGCTTTTTTTGCTTTTGTTTTTGTTTTTGTTTGGTTTGGTTTGGTTTGGTAGAGACGGGGTCTTGCTCTCTTGCCCAGACTGGTCTTGAACTCCTGGCCTGAAGTGATTGATCCTCCCTCCTCGTACTCCCCAAGTGTTGGGATTGCAAGCATGAGCTACCGCACCCAGCCTTTATGTTTGCTTTTTAAAACAAGAATTTTGGCAGTTCTTGCTAATTTTTCTATACTCCCAATCTGGTGATTTTATGTAACTTGAGAGGCTGTTTCCAAGGCTCGGTTGAGATAGAAAAATGCAATATTCTTGAGGTAGGAACTACTCCCTACTCCAAGTTAATGAATAAAAATTATACTTGTTATAGTATATATGGTTATATGCCAGTATGGTACATATACTAGTTATGTATATAAAGAGAGTTTACCCTAGCTTTTGTTGTTGCTGTTTTTGTAGTTTAAAATACCACCAAGAGTGAAAGAGAAGTGTCAGCAGCAATTTTTTTCTGTGCTAAGGATTAAGCATTAAGAATGTCCCAGAAGAACTGAGACAAAACCATTTCTGAATTCCAAAGGCAAAACATATTGAAGTGAAATAGCCCATGTATTGTGGTTGGATAACCTGCCCAGGCTATGTTTAATGCAGGGATTGGGTTGCAAATTTTATGTGCAGATTCTTGAAGGAAAGGATCTGATTTTCCATTCTCAGCAGTATTTGTCAAAGCAAAAAGACATTTAGGAAACCCTGAGGTTTGAATTCAGCATCCAGTAACTCAGTTTCCAGACTCTGGAAACCGCTGTGTGCTCAGAGGCTGGGCTAGGGCCAACTTTTGGATTCTAAGCCAACCTCAGTTATCAGTTGAGAGATTTTTTTCTTTGTGTGACAGAAAATTGGCATATCTAAACACTGGACTGAATTGATGTGCTGCAATAGAGATCAAACCCTGACCTAAACAAATCAACCCCAAAATGCAAGGAGGGGTGCTAAGAAAACAAGGAAGTAGATAGCACGTTTGATTTGATGCATGACTTGGGGCAAATATTCACCTCTCTGCTTTACCATTTTACCTTTGTGCCTCAGTTTCCTCTGATTCCTGTTAAACATTAGTCCTCAAGCTAATGAGGAATCTGTTTATTCAGTTGTGGAAGGGGTGATCAGAAGAAATAACAGAATGTGCCTGCTGAAAAGATCCATAGAAATCTTCTAGACTAGACCAGTTCTTTCATTTTATGGATGAGGAAACTGAGTGATAGTTGGAGGCTGGGTCAGAATAAGTCTCAGGTCTTCCCCCAGCTCCTTCCTATCCAGCTGTCTTATAAAATCACTGCCCTCTCAGCCTCAGTTGTTCCTGGACACCTGCTCTTTAAGCTGGACTCAAGCCCAAGTCTCCGCTTGTTAAGTTTTTTCATCTAGCAGTGGAATATCTTTCCCTAAGTAGTTCCATATGGAGCCAAAGCAGGAAACAATGGGTAGTAAAGATCCCACACCCTGGAGGCTGGTTTCATTTCAAAACCCTAGAGCTCCAGCTCACAGACTGCCTTGTCTTTGGGATCAGAGACACCCTGGGACTTGACAGGTTTCCCATTTCCCCACTGGGAGACCCAGGTCCAGATTCTTGTTCCTTAGTTTATGTTGAATTAAACATTCGGCTCCTTGGAAGCCTCAAGACGGTCGTCTTCTATTTCAGGCTTCATTTCATAGTTGAGGACCTCACTCTTTAGAAATTCTCAGATCGGACTCTGCTCCAAGGGGTTGAAATCCTACCACCCTGCCACTTCCTCTGTTTTTCACTTTCATCTCTGTCTCCTTGCAGAAGTTCCCCACTTTTGCCAAAGGACTCATAGTCTCCTGTGCGCTTGCACACGTTCATTTTTTTTTCACTTTGCACAAACTCTTTTTTCTTCTACTTCCATTCTTGTTATACTGTTTTTGAAGTTAATAATTTTAAAACGAGGGGGAAAACTCTTGGAGAGCAGGAATAGTACCCTTAATGTGTCCTGTTATAGATAATAAATTTCAGTAATATAAATTCCATTGGTGTTTTAGAAATGGAATTAACCGTAGTATACCAGCATCTTTTGCCTATATGAACACTGTTGAAGGACACTGGAGAAGGGAAATTAACTAGAAAGATGATCACTTCAGGCCCTATCATTTCTGCCCTTTTCTGCAATTGTTGCCAAGCTAGAAAGGTTGAAAGTGTGCTGGACAATCCCACCTCTTATTCTGCTTTACAGTCATCACCACTTCCTAAACTCCTTCCTTGAACCCAGTCCATTCTCCGTCGCTGTCGTGGTTCAGACTCTCCCTGTCTTGTGCTTGCAGTTTTGAAGTGGCCTCCTCCCCACCCTCTCACACATTTATATATGTGAACAAGTCATAGTTTTAACAGTACCACTCTCACTTAAAGCCTTCTCTAACTTGCTGTGGCCGAATTAGTCATCCCCTCTCTGTCCTCCCCACCAAGCCTTGTTCTTAAATCTGGTATTGCATCTGTAATGTAATTATTTGTATCTTCCTTACTCACTAAACTGTGGATCCTTGAGACCAAGATTATTTCCTTATTCAGAATTTTTTCCTTAGCTCCTAGGAGAGTATTCTTCATTCATTCTTTCATAGAAATATGTATTGAATTTAGGTATAGAGTGATGAGAAAAAAAGTTATTTTCTTATCTGTGAAATCCTTGAGTATTGGACCCCATCTTGCTTTTGTATCCCTAGAATCTAGCATGGAGTCTGACATCTAGCAAATAACTAGTGTAGATTGACTTACTACAAATATATCTCAAGCCTCTGTGCCTTTGTACACTAATGGTTCCTGTTGGCTTGAAAAATACTCTTCTTCTCTTCTTTGTTCTAGCTCCTTAAGAAACCATATAGCATAATCAGCTGAGAACTCAGGTTTCAGAGTTAGTCAGACTTGGGTTCCATCCTGGCTTTGCCCTTTACTAACAGTGTGGCTTTGTTTCTGTTTCCTCTCCGTGGAATGGGTAAAATTAAATCTACACTAAGTGTAGGTCCGAAGGTGGGGGGCGATTAAATGAGACAACCTATTTATAGCGCTCAACAGGCCAATACATGGTAGGAGCTCAATAAGTCATAGCTTTCAGTATTTTAACAAATCCGTTCAGATTCAGATCAAATGCCATCTCTTCTTGGAAGCCTTTCCTTCCCCCTTCTAACTCCCACCTGGGTGAGCTGCCCTGCCTGCACAGCTGCAGCATTATATGCTCACTTCTCTCATAGCAGAGACGTCCCCAACCCCTGGGCCAGGGACTGGTACCAGTCCATGGCTGGTTAGGAGGCGCCCCCCGCCCCCCAGCAGGAGGTGAGTGGTGGGCAAGGGAGCATTACTGCTTGAGCTCCGCCTCCTGTCAGATCAGTGGCGGCATTAGATTCTGATAGGAGCGTGAACCTTATTGTGAACTGCACATGCGAGGGATCTAGGTTGTGTGCTCCTTGTAAGAATCTAACTGGTACCTGATGATCTGAGGTGGAACAGTTTCATCCCAAAACCATCCCCTAATGCCCCTGGTCCGTGGAAAAAATTGTTTTCCATGAAACTCATCCCTGGTGCCAAAAAGGTTGGGGACCACTATATAGCACACATCACAGTGGCTATAATTAATTCAATAGTGTTTTTGAGTTTCTACCAGATACTAAGTATTGCATATACAGTGATGACAGGAGAAAAAGACTTTGTGATCCCTCTGAGAGCTGGACCCTGTCTTGCCTTTATATCTCTAGCATGGTGCCTGATATACAGTAATTGATTAATATAGACTGACTCATTCAATGAACAAAAGAGCAGACCTACTTTTGTTGTATCTATAGTTTTCATATTCTTTGTGCTTGCATGGCTTTTTGGTTGGACTATTATGTGAATCTCAAGAGGTTCAGCATGTCAATGTTAGCTACTCTTAATGTACACACACCATGCCAGCTTTCCCTAGGTGTAGTGGTCGTATCAGGAGGTGAGATCATTCTACTCCTTTCTTTCAGATTCTATGACAAGGTACTTTCTTTGCATGAGGATTCAACAACCCCTGTGGCTAACCCTCTGCTTGCATTTACTCTCATCAAACGCCTACAGTCTGACTGGAGGAATGTGGTACATAGTCTGGAGGCCAGTGAGAACATCCGAGGTAATGAGGAGGAGGGCTGGAGGGTAAGAGAGAAGATTCTATCTCCTGACTGGTGGTAAGGAGAGAGATTCTGTTGGGGTGTGATTTCAAAGGGTAATGGAGTAGGTGGGTATTACTTAATATCCTTAGTTCTAGCTAGCACAAAGAATTAGCCCCCCTTGCTAATCGGTTTGTATGATTATACATTATACATTATACAATCTTGTGACGAAGTACAAGATAAATCCTTCCATTTATATATGTATAGAAAATAACCGTCTTCTAGTAGTTTCTGTTTCATTAAATTGTCACTACAGTGTCATCTATAGCAAGATCACTTTCCCAATTTATTCTGCTTTGTGCTTTAAGAAGTTTGTTGACGGCCGGCCCGGTGGCTCATGCCTGTAATTCAGCACTTTGGGAAGCTGAGGTGGGCTGATCACTTGAGGTCAGGAGTTCCAGACTGGCCTAACCAACATGGTGAAACCCCGTCTCTATTAAAAATACAAAAATTACCAGGATGTGGTGGGATTACATGCCTGTAATCCCAGTTACTCAGGATCTGAGGCAGGAGAATTGCTTGAACCCGGGAGGCAGAGGTTGCAGTGAGCCAAGATCGCACCACTACACTCCAGCCTGGGGCGACAGAGTGAGACTGTCTCAAAAAAAAAAAAAAAGTGTTGACTTTTGGGCTGGGCGCAGTGGCTTATGCCTGTAATCCCAGCACTTTGAGAGGCTAAGATTGCTTGAGCTCATGAGTTCGAGACTAGTCTGGGCAATATAGCGAAACCTATTAAAAATACAAAAATTAGCCAGGCATGGTGGCACATGCCTGTAGACTTGGGAAGCTGAGGCACAAGAATCGCTTGAACCCAGAAGGTGGAGGTTGCAGTGAGCTGAGATTGAGATTGCACCACTGCACTCTAGCCTGGGTGACTGAGCAAGACCCTGTCTCAAAAAAAAAAAAAAAAAAAAAAAAAAAGAAGTTTGTTGATTTTTGGAAAGCTAACAGTGAGAAGAGGCTGGGTGCGGTTGCTCTTGCCAATAATCTCAACACTTTGGGAGCCTAAGTTGGAAGGATCACTTGAGGCCAAGAGTTTGAGACCAGCTTGGGCAACATAGCAAGACCCTGTCTCTACAAAAAAATGTATTTAAATTAGATGGATGTGATGGCGTGTGCCTGAAGTCCTGCCTACTCAGAAGGCTGAAGTGAGAGGCTCACTCGAACCCAGGAATTCAAGCACGAGCTATGACCATGCCACTGTACTCCAGCCTAGGCAACAGAACAAGATCCTATTTCTATTAAAAGAAAGAAAGAAAAGAGGAGAGAAGAGAGAAAAAAAGAAAAGAAAAGAAAAAGAAAAAGAAGAGTTGTTTCCCTAAAGAGCAAGACTTCTGGAGACATACAGGATAGGACAATATAATGAAGCCGTGTGCCTTAATTTTTATTCCTCATTCACTCATTCTGAATGTTCCTCATTCAGAATTGCATTAAGCATCCACCCTGTGCCAGGAACTGTGCTTGCCTCTGGGAACACAAAGACAAATCCAACTTGATCTCACTAAATATTTGAACAGGTGGTCATGCCTTGCATGTATTAAATGCCCAACTCCTGTTTCTTGAATGACAGGTTGATGTTTTTACTACTTTTACAGCTCTGAAGGATGGCTATGAGAAGGTGGAGCAAGACCTTCCAGCCTTTGAGGACCTTGAGGGAGCAGCAAGGGCCCTGATGCGGCTGCAGGATGTGTACATGCTCAATGTGAAAGGCCTGGCCCGAGGTGTCTTTCAGAGAGTCACTGGCTCTGCCATCACTGACCTGTACAGCCCCAAACGGCTCTTTTCTCTCACAGGGGATGACTGCTTCCAAGTCGGCAAGGTAACAATATTCGAGAGAGGACCAGTTGCTTGGCTCTGGTTTCTTATGGATGAAATACCTGTGTCCCAATTGCTTTTACTTCTTTTTAATACTTACAGTAAACTTGGAAATTTGATATTTCCATTTTCAGAGAAAGAAAACAAGATTCAGAGAATGTAAATAATTTGCCCTAAGATTATGCAATTTTAAGTGCAGAACTAAAGCTTGAACCCAGTCTTGACTCCAAATCTCAGGGCCTTTCCATAGTAATAAAGGTGTTTATATGCTTAGGACACTCTTGAGATTGAAAGGGGTGTTATTAATTATGCTAGAACAACAGACATGAACTGGGGAAAATGGTCCTTTGGTCACCCTAACTATAGCACCCGGCCAGTGCATGAACCCTTGGGTAGAAAGGGAAATCAGGGGGTCAGGGACACAAGGTTGGGGAAAAGGATAAGAGATGGTGATGGAAAGGTAGGATCATGGAAACAGCCTCCTGAGACTTTCTGGAATCCAATGCAACATTTCCTAAGCATTTAGAAATACAAAATTAAAATAGTGTCCAAAATCTAAGGCCATTTGCTTTAACATTACTTGAGGAAATAGACTTCAGGAACACCCCCCCACCCATCTGAGGTCTTTAACCGATCTTTGATTATAAGTTGTAATCACACTTGAGATCATTTTGTAATATACTCTTTGCCAGCCTTTGCCATAAAAAGCAATGGAGCAAATCCATTTTACCTTTGAAGGTGTTTATTGCAGTAAGGTGTATTTTTCCTGACACCTACAGTATTTGTCAACAGATCTGGGAGTGGGTCTCATGTGTCCTGATTCCAAATTTTGGGAGTCAGTCTTCCAAATTAAAGCAGAGTGGGCTGCTTGAGTCTCTCTACTTACCGTTTTCTCTTTTATGGGATCCTGAGCGGAATCAGAGCTCAATCATCATGTTCATGGCTGATTTAAATTTAAGCCAGGTAAATAGTTTGATGTATGGTACTAACATATTCTTCATTAGTGAGGCCTTTCTGAAAGTAAAGCCATATGTTGAAAATTTAGTAAGTCACTTCCTGGAAGTCTTACTGGCAATCTTTCTTTCTGTATTTATTTACTTATTTTGAGAGAGAAAACTTTTCAAATATAAGAAAAGGACATAAAATAATATAGCAAGCAATTATATCTATCATTGTCATGGATATATGTTCAGATTTTGCTATGTTTGTTTCATTTTTTAAAATATATATTTTTTTAAAAAAACATGTTACATACAGCTAAAACCCCACTCATCCTCCTTACCACTCACCCCACCCCTTCTGCTCCACCCTTGCCCAGGTAGCCGTGATCCTAAACCATATAGTATATGCCCTTCTGAGTCCAGCTTCTTTCACTCAGCACATTGTATCTGTGGAATTCATCCATATTGTATCATTTGTTAGTAGTTCATTTCTTTTTATTGCTGGGTAGTATTCCATTCTATGAATATGCCACAAACTGTTGATCCAGTCTTCTGTTAACAGATTCTTGGATTGCTTCCAGTTTGGGCTACTGTGAATAAAGCTTCTGTTAACATCCTTTTATGTCCTTCTATGGACATTTATTCTCATTTCTCTTGGATGAATACCTGGGAGTGGTATTGCCAAGTCACAGAATAAGCTTCAATAATTATCAACATGTGGCCAAATTTGTTTCATCTATACTTCCCCAATCCCTTCCTCTATGGATTATGAAGTCTCTAGTTTATGAAATTCTTTTTTTTTCTTAGGGTTTGGCTCTGCCATCCAAGTAAGTACAGTGACACAATCATGGCTCGCTGCAGCCTTGATCAAGTGATCCTCCCACCTGGGGGGATTCAAGTGATCCTCCCACCTCAGCCTCCCAAGTAGCTAGGACTGCAGGTGTGCCCAACCATATCCAGCTACTTTTTAAATAAGGGTCTCACTGTGTTGCCCAGGATGGTCTCGAACTCCTGGCCTCAAGTGATCCTCCTGCCTCAGCCTCTCAAAGTGCTGGGATTACAGGCATAAATCACTGCACCCAGCCTATCTTCTGAAATTCTTAATTGTCTAATTCCATCATCATGCTATTGTGTCTGTTGACTCTTGCTCATGATGGATTATTTCCTGATATAGTTTGTCATGTTTGGGAGCTTATTTTCAGCAGGACATTTTCCCCCTAAGAGAATCCATGTGCCCAGAGTTGTGGGAATATCCCTCCAGAGAGTTTTGGGTGTTCTTCTTCCAGAAACTCTGGTGCTCTCACTGGCCTTAGATCCATTTTTATATTCATTTATTGACATAGGAGTTCCTTAACCATATGAATATTGCAGATTCAAACCCTATACTCACAAGAAGTAGAGGCTCAAAATTGAGAATATTCTTACACAGAGCTAGACAGAAACAAACAAATCTTCTTGTCTCATTAAGGCAGCAGGCAAATTTTTTTCTGGTCTACCTTTTCTCCTAAGGTGTAGTTTTTTATAGAATCCAATTTCATACAGGTGTCTTAGTTCCAGTTCCTGGGCTTGCGGCAGGTCTAAGAATGGCTCATCTTCTATCCTCATATGGGCGTTATAACCCAAGGTTACTGAACACCAAGGTTACTATGATTAACACCCACCCCCATCCTAAGGAACGTCAGCATCTGCTCATAAGCTTATGGTTTGGGCTTTTAGCCCTTTTTTGTTTCTGGTACCTGATATTTTCTGTTTTTTTATTTCTTGAAAATATATAATACAACACTTTTTATAGTATTCAAAGTGTCTGAATTTGTGTTCAGAAGGATTCCAGTTATTTCAGTCTACCATATTGCTGGGACTTGAAGTTATTCATAGAAATCTTTTTTTTTTTTTTTTTTTTTTTTTTTGAGATGGAGTCTCGCTCTGTCGCCCAGGCTGGAGTGCAGTGGCCGGATCTCAGCTCACTGCAAGCTCGGCCTCCCGGGTTCACGCCATTCTCCTGCCTCAGCCTCCCGAGTAGCTGGGACTACAGGCGCCCGCCACCTCACCCGGCTAGTTTTTTGTATTTTTTTAGTAGAGACGGGGTTTCACCGTGTTCGCCAGGATGGTCTCGATCTCCTGACCTCGTGATCCGCCCGTCTCGGCCTCCCAAAGTGCTGGGATTACAGGCTTGAGCCACCGCGCCCGGCCATTCATAGAAATCTTAATTAAACAAATTAACTTGTCATGAAAAGTTCAGTCATTTTTAGCATTTTTTAGCTCAACCTTTTTACAAATAGGACTTGAGGTGCAGAAAAATGAAACAACAGGTTAATGACAGACCTAAAGGAACAATGATTTATTATTTAGGCTGCAGAACTGCAATATCTCTAGGATTTTTCTCTGTCAGGAAGTTACACCCTAATTAGATCATTTTGCAATAGTTCTTCCTAGTCTGTAACTTTACAATTCCATGTTGTCTCCAGTATCAACTTCCAGGAAATTCCACTTGCAACTCTGGTATTCTAGTTAACTGTAAACTATGAGGAGACAGGAGCTATGTCTGGTACATGTTGCCATGTTGCCGGCGTTCCAGCATTTAATACAGAACAGATCCATTGAGCTTCCATAGTATTCCATGTCTACCTTCGTTATGGTGTCTAATGCATTGTGTTACAATTATTGGCTTACTCACGTGCCCCCTCTTGATTTAAGCTCTTACAGGACAGGGCCACCAGGCGCATAGGAAATACTTAGTAAATATTGAATAAATGAATGAATGAATGAATGAATATAATCCATTCTTCACATTGCTACCAGCAATATCTTCCTAAAAATATGATATTCAAGACTGTAATTTGCTTAGCCGGTGCTGCTGTTTCAAGTTTACTTTTTGTTTCTCTTCACCCTGGCTACAGCCACGATGGACTACTTGAACACATTCTTGCTTTAGATTTCTGTTTCTGCCATTCCCTCATCTTAAAATGCTTTTCTTCCCAGTCTCTACTCACCAAAATCCTTTTCCTTCTTCAAGGAAGGCCTGTCTCAGATGCTACCTCCTACATGAAGCTTTCTGAGATTCCCAAGTCTCTTCCTTTCTCTGTGCCACCACAGGATAGTATGCATTTTCCTTGGAGCACTCATGACATTGTGTCCCAAATTAAAGTTAGTTGAGGTCATGTTCTCTTCTCCTTCAGATTATAAATTCCTTAAGCATAAGAACCCTTATGTCTCCTCTTCACCTAATACAATGCATTGTATATAGTAGATGCTTAATAAATTGAATTAAAATGAGTTTGAAATTAAAATCTGCCTTCTTGGATTCCAAAGGTCCTCTTATTCTTTGAATTGTCATTTTATTTTTCTACCTGTGGAATAAGGCTTTAGCGATGGTACTTGTGTTCTGTGTAGGTGGCCTATGACATGGGGGATTATTACCATGCCATTCCATGGCTGGAGGAGGCTGTCAGTCTCTTCCGAGGATCTTATGGAGAGTGGAAGACAGAGGATGAGGCAAGTCTAGAAGATGCCTTGGATCACTTGGCCTTTGCCTATTTCCAGGTAAGGGAATAAGTGAAGCTCACTTGCTTTTATTTTACTAAGTGAAATCCTTTATAACTGCTTTACAATTTCTAAGCATTTTCACATCTTCATCTGTTTCATCTTCCCAGTAGGACCAAATGTGAGTCAAGCAAGGAAGTTATTTTATCATTTCCATGTATCACATGTGAGGAAACTGAGTCTCTAAAAGACTCTTAACTTGTCACAAAGCTTATAGACCTAGGATTAGACTACTAGTCCAGTGCTCTTTCCAATGCATTGACTACTTTACAATCATTATTTCCCATGTTTGTCACCTGTAGCAGCAGCTGCTTTATTCCCAAATGGTTAGTGGGTTCACAGTAAATGTAGATCACTCTTTTGTGCTCTCAGCAACTCATAATTCATCACAGATATTACCCATGATATTGCCATGGACAAAGAAGTTTGATTATGAGCTTTTCCCATCTGCAGTTGAGTCCCACTGTAATGTGACTCGTGTCTGGTTACAGAGGTGGAGTCACTGTTCTGTAGTGCCAGCCACAGTGCCTCCTCCAGGTGTTATTTTTCCATGGCACTGTTGATCTACTTACTCCCTGGTGTGCCTTATGTAGAAGTTCATTTCCCTAAATAAAGCAGCTGCCAATAAACAAAACTAACCAATAACTGGGTAAGGTATAGCTTTTGTATAGCTAACCCCATTTCCCACCCGAGTTGTACAGTCTTCAAGGGTAGGCTGCAAAAATCTCCATGGAACCAGTTCCCTAGAGTTTCCAAAACTAGTAAACCATTTCTGCTCCCTACCTTTTTTTTTCTTTCCCCCTTTTCTTGAGAAAGGGGAGGAGGATGTGGGTGGTCCAAACCCATGTGTTGCTGCCCAAACAGATTTACTTTCAGTGCAGCAAACAGTCCTGTTCCTTTCATGGAAGTTCCTGGTGAATGGATCTTTGTTGTAAAACTGTGTCTGTGTTGGCCGGGTGCGGTGACTCACGCCTGTAATCCCAGCACTTTGGGAGGTTGAGGCGGGCGGATCACCTGAGGTCAGGAGTTCGAGACCAGCCTGACCAACATGGAGAAACCCCGTCTCTACGAAAAAAGAAAAAAACAAAAATTAGCTGGGTGTGGTGGCACATGCCTGTAATCCCAGCTACTCAGGAGACTGAGGCAGGAGAATTGCCTGAGCTCGAGAGGCGGAGGTTGTGGTGAGCAGAGATTGTGCCATTGCACTCCAGCCTGGGAAACAAGCAAAACTGCTTCTCAAAAAAAAAAAAAAAAAAAAAAAAAGAAAAGAAACAAACAAAGAAAAAAAAAAAACTGTGTATGTGTTCTTCCTAACTGTCCTGCTAAATTGCTGTGTGTTAAAGCCAAATAGAATAACTGTGATGTAACAAAGGGTGAGAAGTAATTGAGTTTTCCTAGAGGAAGGAAATGGAGAATCAACGTGGAAAGACTCAGAGAAGAGAAACTAAAGCAGCTTACCCTGAAAGACAGGGTTTCAAGTGCTGTACCCAATTATTGATTAGTTTTGTTTTGTTTCCCTCTAACTCTGATGGCTTGGATTTCTCTTCTACTCTCTTTCCACATCCTCCTTTGTCTGGTGAAATTCTGTTTATCTTACAAGGCCCAGTTCGAATGTCACCTACTTTGTGAAGTCTTCCTGAGTTCTCCTCACTCCCCAGGCTTTCCTCCTTGGTGCTCTTATAGCATGTTTTTATTCCCCAATAACAGACATAAGGCATTATCTTATAGATGGTTTATGTTCCTTCTCACTCCCTAGTAAACTGGAAGTAAATGTCCCCATGGACCTTTCATTATCATATAAAATTTAATGTATTTTATTTCATAATGTATTTTATTTCATATATGTTAGTAAAAAAAATTTTAGTAACTGCTAATAATGAGAGATGGTAGAGTACAGTGGTTAAGCTGTGGGCTCTGAAATCAGACAGACCTGGGTTCAAATGCTATGAAAACATGGGCAACTTATTTAGCTTCCCTGGGCCTCAATTTTCTTATTTGTAAGAGAGGAATAAAGATGCTCACCTCAAATGGGTTGCTGTGAGGATTGAGTGAGCTAATATAGGCAAAGCCTTTAACAGAATGCATGCATGGCACATGCTACTTGCTGGATAAATGTCAGTTCTTATTACATGATACATACATGTATATGTTCTGTTTTCATTTAATGTTACTTAGTGTACCTATTTCCAAAGAAACTTAACTGAGACACCAAAAGTAAATCTTTGTTCTTTGTAAAATATAATTTTACTTTATTACAAGGCTCTCAAGTTTTAAAGATATGTGAAATTGTATTTGGTTCTTTTCATCTCACGAAGAGTTTGAAAAGCTGTGACCTTAACTTAATATTTGACATTATAAGATATTCATAGATTACTCAAGTATTCCTTGTTAAATGTAGAACAGAGTAATTCATTACATCAAATAATTAGAAACAATATATTTGTCCAACAGTAGTGGAAAGGTTATGTTCTCTGTGGTATATCTTCTGGACGGAATAAAATGCAGCCGTTAAAAATGCTGTCTGTGAAGACTACGTGATGATATCAAAATACTCCTGATAACAGTGTAGAGTGAAACAATCAGGATGTGAAATGTATACAAATATGCTTATAACTATGTAAAAACTATATATTATCCAAAGTGCTTCAGTCCCTGGATTTTGGTGTAGTAATTTTTTTCCATTTCTCGTATGTTTCATAGTGTGCTGCTTATTGTTTTTATCATTAAAAGTGAATTGTTAATATGCTAAAGTAAAGTGATTGGAATGAAATACATTTCTATCAGTTAATCATCGTTTGGCAGCACCCAGAAGAGGACTGCTGCATATCCATTCAGGATTCTGTTCCCAGATTTGTCTGGAAAGCCCTATTTCCTTTTGACTATGTTGAGCCCAAGGTTGAATGGCTGCAGGGAGAGTTAATTCCTGTGCACTGGGCAATGTTTCCGTTTTAGTTCTTTCTTTGCCTCCCTCCACTAACTTTGTGGACTCTGGGAAGAATTGAATCTGGAGAACAAATTTTATTTTTACTAGGATTTTTATAGTTCCATATTAGGTTAAATATATTTAACTTTGGTTGTATTATTAAATATAATATAACAAATAACAACACACTGCAATTACGTGGTTTTGCATGCTTTAAGATTTGAGGGCACTTTAAGAAGGTTTATTTTCATTTATTTTCCTACCTTGCCTGGTAAGGGTGGTCATAAGTCATTAGTAAATGAGGAGACTGGTGAGACCTCATTTGCAGCGAGGCCATAGATCCTCTGCATTTCTGGTCTGCTGTTCCTTTCAGTGAGCCTTGTTATCTACTTATGGTAAGAATATTTTATAGTTTTTTTTTAAATCCATTTAATGGTTTGTTCAGAGGAGATGTCCTCAGTGAAGTTAATGCTTTCTTTTCCTTTTTTTTGAAACAGGCAGGAAATGTTTCATGTGCCCTCAGCCTCTCTCGGGAGTTTCTTCTCTACAGTACGTAATGGATAAAAGATAAGCCAGCCACAGGTCTGACTTATGGGGAACTCCCTTCTGCTCCTGGCTTTTAATTCCTGCAAGAGAAATACAGCTATCTGTCTTTATTATCTTTTTTTTTTTTTCCTCACTCTGTCACCCAGGCTGGAGTGCAGTGGCGTGATCTCAGCTCACTGCCTCCTGGGTTCAAGCGATTCTCCTGCCTCAGCCTCCCAAGTAGCTGGGATTGTAGGCACCCACCACCACACCTGGCTAATTTTCGTATTTTTAGTAGAGGCGAGGTTTCACCATGTTGGCGAGGCTGGTCTCAAACTCCTAACTTCAAGTGGTCCCCCCACCTCGGCCTCCCAAAGTTCTGGGATTACAGGTATGAACCACTGTGCCTGGCCCTATCTTTATTATCTTGATTTCATAATCCAGGTCACATTTCAAATTTTGGTGAAATCTTACATACTGTTCAATGCATCGGGGTAAATTTTTAAGTTAGTTGGAAAATGCTGAGAAGATATCAACCTGTCCCTTCCTTCCTCCACCCAATCAATGATATATTAGTGTTGCTTCAATGAGAAAAAGCCCAGGAGTGGGAGCTAGTTTCTTCAGAGACATTTTAAAGTCCCAGATTTTGGAAGCAGACCCAAGAATGAATGAAATCAGTGTGCACTATGTACGCAAGAAGGAAAGTGACTCAGCAGGATTGCTCAGTTTGGCTGCTCACAGAGAGATACCAGTTTTTCCCTTTACATCAGGTCTCCTTCTGTGATGCATGCATCCTGCCCAGCCAGTGGGTCACATAATTCAGCATCATCCCTGCTTCAGGGAGTCGCTTGCTAACAACAAATTGAGTTCAACAGGAGGGAGATGCTTCCTAACTCAGCTATCTGCTTGGAAATGTTTGCTTCAAAGTTATATGTGTATATTTGCTTAACATTTTAGTGGTAAATGGCTTCCTAGGTTTTTCTTTAATACAGTATTCATTTGTTTTGTTTTACTTTTGCTTTTGGGGGTGTGGTTTTTTTTCTTTGTTGTTTGTTTTTTGGTTTTGTTTTTTGAGACAGAGTCTCATTCTGTCACCCAGGCTGGAGTGCAATGGCGCGATCTTGGCTCACTGCAGTCTCTGCCTCCCAGGTTCAAGTGATTCGTGTGCCTCAGCCTCCCAAGTAGCTGGGATTACAGCCATGTGCCACCATGCCCAGCTAATTTTTATATTTTTAGCAGAGAGGGGGTTCTGCCATGTTGGCCAGACTGGTCTCGAACTCCTGGCCTCAAGTGATCCACCTTCCTTGGCCTCCCAAAATGCTGGGATTACAGGCATGAGTATTTAGTATTTAGATACTTAAATGAGATACAAAAATCACTATTTTGTTTTAATATTTATAAAGTATTCCATATAGGACTTTACAATTGCATGTATACATAACTTTTTAATGAATCAATTTAGTAACATTACTCCCTTCTGATAATTTAGCAAACAATAGGATAAGGAAGTAGCTGTATATCTACAAACACTTGAGTAATTAGTGGTACAAACAAAATTATAATCCAAACCTTCTTTATTTCTTTGCACTTGATCTATTAAATTTTTTGCTATCCACCCAAATTGTGTGCTTTTATAGGTGGATAATAGAACATGGCAAGTTGAGATTCCCAGTTTTATTTCTGGCTTTGCAATATTTTCACTGGGGTTTGGGCTAATAATTTCCATTCTCCAAAACTTCGTTTCTTCTCTTATTAAAACAGAATGGTAATTTCTGCTCCTTCCTTTCCTCTTTTGCCAGGGTGATGCTTGTGGTTAGAAGCACACTGGGTTCCTCAGAGAAAGCTGCTTTGGGAGCCTTAGAACAATTCAGCATCTCCTTCTGAGATGCATTGAGAGTCATGCAAAGAGACCAGCAGGCCACGGGTAGCTCTGCCAATGCATGGGGCATCTTGCAGCCAAAGTGGGTATAGACAGGTGGGCATGAACAAGACACAAGATTTATTGGGTTTCCCAAGGGCCCTGTGGGAATCCAGTCTAGAGCCAAAGTCTAGAGTCCCTCTGCCCCATACTTCTTTGCTCTGGGTCTAGGCCAGTTAGGAGATTTGAAAGATCTAGTGGAGCAAGGAATGAATTAGCTTCCAATTCTCTGGGGAAGAATAGGTTGGGTCCTTCTGCAATACGCTTTGGCTTTCTGGACTTCTCTTTCATTGCACTTATCATATTTTGTTGTAAGTGATATTTTAATGTCCTTTTTCTCCATTAGACTCTAAATTCTGGGAGGTCAGCCTGTAGCACAGTATCTGGTACATAGTAGATGTTCATTGAAGATTTATTGAATGGATGGGTGAAAGAATCAATGAATGAATGAATGAAGCTTCATCTTCCCCATATATACCATCACACTGTCCCAGAGCAGCCATCCTCATGATCCCTTGGCCTAAGAGTTTTAAGTTCTACTTTGCTTCCTAAAGCCCTTTGCACCTTTGCATCTTCAAAGGTGCAAAAGGCTTTGGGTACTTTAAAAAAAAAAACCAGGTACTTAAAAAAAAAAATACCAGGTACTCTTCTGGGAGTGAGGGCCTTGTGTCCTCCTGTGCGTTGACATGAGGAGTTATTCAGGAGATCCAGTTGCCCATCTTGTGCAGCAGTGAAGCTGGAGGAAACCTTGGTGGCACTCCCTGCTGCCAATGTTTGTTAATCCCTATTTTATATTCCCTGCTCTGATTTCTTCCAGGCCCAGATAATAAGAGGATGGCCAGGAATGTCTTGAAATATGAAAGGCTCTTGGCAGAGAGCCCCAACCAGGTGGTAGCTGAGGCTGTCATCCAGAGGCCCAATATACCCCACCTGCAGACCAGAGACACCTACGAGGGGCTATGTCAGACCCTGGGTTCCCAGGTAGGATTCCTCAGGGAAAGAGAAAGGGTGAGAGGCCTGGCTAGAGTGTGAGAAACTAGAATTGGGATAACATGAGGGGATAGAGCTGATGCATTAAAAACAATAAAGCTCACTTGGGCAGCATCAGAGTGACCACATTCTGTATCTTTTGCATTCCAATTTTTTATGCCATAGTTCCCCTAAGTTGAGTTTTGCTCCTAGACCCTTCTTCTCTTGTGCTTATCCTATTCTTTCTTTCCAGCCCACTCTCTACCAGATCCCTAGCCTCTACTGTTCCTATGAGACCAATTCCAATGCCTACCTGCTGCTCCAGCCCATCCGGAAGGAGGTCATCCACCTGGAGCCCTACATTGCTCTCTACCATGACTTTGTCAGTGACTCAGAGGCTCAGAAAATTAGAGAATTTGCAGAACCATGGGTGAGTGTCCTGAGAACCCGCCAAGAATTTCTCTTTGTGTCTTCACATGCCTGGAGTTCAGGAGTGTTCAGAATAAGCAACCTGAACAACTAGACACCTCAAAGAGCTAAGGAGTTCAGAATGCCAACCATTCCATAAAACTAATCCATGGTGGAAAGAAATCACAATAGTGCTTGCCTCTGGAGGGAAAGGATTAACTGGATGATGTGCAAGAGGATTCTCTAGGGTATTGAAAATGTGCTCTCGATATCTTGTTAGGGACATGGTACATGTGGCTGTATGCATTTGTCAAAACTCACCAAATGGTCCACTTGAGACCTGTGCATATCATTGTATGTAAGTTTAACCTAAGAAAACGCAAATAAAAAAGAACACTTCAAAAGTGTCAACCATTCCATATAATCGGTAGAGGTGGGGAAAAGGGTGAAATGACAGTGGCAAGGAGTAAAATCCTAGCACGTATTTACAGAGTTAGAGTAGAAAGCTGAACTTCAGTATTTGTTAAAAAGGAAACTGAGGCCCAGAGAGGGGAAGGGACTTGTTAAGGTCACACATATAGCTAGAGCCACAGCTAGAACTTAGAGGGACAGTAGTCCCCCTTATTTGCAATTTTACTTTCTGTGGTTTCAGTTATTCTCAGTGTAGTACAATAAGATATTTTAAGAGAGAGAGGTCATTTTCCCATAACTTTAATACAGTATATTATTATTATTATTCTATTTTATTATTGTTAATCTCTGTGCCTCATTTATGAATTATAAATTATAACATATAATTATAAATTAAACTTTGTACTTCAATTATAATCATGATTATAATTTCGTTTTAAAAACAACCAAAGGAGGCCAGAGTGGTCAGGGCTAGCGGGCCCAACAAAGGGGCAGGGCTTCAACTGAGTCTTCAAAGATGGGCAGGATGTGGCGAGAGAGAGAAGTGATGAGTGAATGTGCTTTGGGAAAGGGACAGTGACTAGGAAGCAGAGATATTCAACACAAGCCACTGAGGCGTCTGTCTTCAGTTCCCATGGGGGAGCCACTACCACGTGAGCCCAGGGCTGATTCCTGGGAGAGCCACAGACCAGACAGGCATCAGCAGCCCCAGAAAGACGCTTCTAGGGGAAGGAAGTGTGCCAAGGTCTGTGCATGCCAAATGGACGACATGGCCGTGAACGATTAAATAGACATCCCTGGGTAGGTCACTTCTCCTGTTTCCATGGCAACAGGGCTGTTTTAAGGAAAAATTTAGTTATAATTTAGTTATAATGTAATTATGATTATAATTAAATTATAATCATGATTAAATTAAATTTTGATTAAAGCCATCCCACGCTATCTTCACTCAAAGACCCAGCCTGACAGAGCAGCCTCTATATGGGACATTGCCAGTCTCATGGAAAAGGAAAAAGACAAATGGCAAACATGAGCTGGCTCATAAAGCTTCTGCGTGGAAGTGCCAGATGTTACTTCCACCCATGTTTCATTGGTCATAGCAAAACATGTGGCCACTACTGCAGTCAACAGCGAGGTTCTAATTCTTCGACAGGGAAAGCACTGCAAGTCACCAAGCCGAGCTGGATGTCAATGGGAAGAGGACATTTAATCTTCCATTTGGAAGCGTGCTAAATATTAAAAAATAATGCACCTCTATAAGCATGTTGCCTCTTTAAAGATATTGTCTCAGAATTATTTCTGTCAAGCCAGACATTGTGCCCTTAACATGTGCAGTTCATCCAGGCAGCCGTTAGTCATTCATCAAGAGAATAGAGCCCACTGTGTGCCAGACACTGGCCTGAGTGCTGGGCTTTTACAGTGAGATGAAGTATTGGTTCTTTCCTCTTGGGAACTTAGTGCACAATGGTAAAAAACAAATATTTACACTAAGCTATGATACATGCTATCATAGAGGTGTGTGCAGGGAGTTGTACTATGCAGATAAAAAAGGGAGGCTTCCTGTAAAGAAAAGGCAATTGGGTGAAGAACAGATGGGTAAGGGAGGAAGAATCAGGGAAGGCTTCACTGTGGAGGTGACATCTATCAGAGAAAGAAGGTGGCAAAGGGTATTCCAGAAAGACAAAACAGTATGTGCAAGGGCAACAGTATGTGATATGTGGTATGTTCAGAGACTGGACAGAAACTTGGTGGCTGAAGTGTGCAAGGGATGGGGGCGAGAGGTAATAGGAGATGAGGCTAGATGTGAGACACCATTAGCAGATGCTATAAATGCCATGCCAGGGAGTTTGGATTTTATCCTGTAGGCAGCAGGAGAGCTGTTGGACAGTTTTAATGGGAGAGTTGCATGATCATGTCTGATTTTTAAGGAAGATTGTCACAGCAGACATGGATTGGAGGCAGAAGAGGAGCAATCATCATTTCATCTAAAATCCCCTCCAGGACAGTCTAGAATCTCTGCACAGAAGTTTTTTGAGATAATTAAGCCCCACTGGTGAATTAGAGCAAACAGGTTCAGCTTTGCAGTGAGCCAGCAGTAGTAGCTTTTGGCCAACAGCTACTTTTTGCTTAGAACAGCCCTGTTACCATGGTAACGGGAGAAGTGACCCACCCAGAGACGTGGATTTAAATGTTCATGGCTGTGTCGTCCATTTGGCATGCACAGATCTTGGCACACCTCCTTCCCCTAGAAGAGTCTCTCTGGGGCTGCTGATGCCTGTCTGGTCTGTGGCTCTCCCAGGAATCAGCCCTGCACTGACATGGTAGTGGCTCCCCCATGGGAACCGAAGACAGACGCCTCAGTGGCTTGTGTTGAATATCTCTGCTTCCTAGTCACTGTCCCTTTCCCAAAGCACACCCACTCATTACTTCTGTCTCTACTTCTGGCACATCCTGCCCTTCTTTGAAGACTCAGTTGAAGCCCTGCACCTTCGTTGGGCTGCTAGCCCTGACCAGTCTGACCGCCTTTGGTTCATTTTTTAGAGCACCTTTTAGAGCCACATACAATTACCTATTCCTCCTCTGAACTCTAAGCTTTTTCTCACCGGTTGTCTGGTACTTAATTTTTAAATCTATTCTGCCGTTTATGTGTTGTCTGACATCACCGACAGTTTCTTGGGTCAGCATCCTCTTTCCCCAGTCAGATTGTAAACTAGCAGGCATCATCTTTCTGCAAATGCCTTGCCCGTATTCTTCCCATTGCTGCCAGAGTAATCTTTAAAAGCTCAGGTCTGACCACTCAAGCCCTTGCTGAAACTCTTTAATGGGTCACTTTTGCCCTTGAGTGCTTACAAGTCTCCATGGCCTGGCTGCTGCCAACCCCTTCCACCACATCTCCCCCAGCACTTGATGCTCCAGCTGCACACTCTTCTGTCTGCCTGGAATGAGCTGCCCTTGGCTTCTCACCCGTATGATTCCAGTGTGTCTCGTGGACATCCTGGAAAGACTTCCTGTCCCTCATAAGAAGGGGCTATGTGCCCCTCTCTGTATTTCCATGGCATTCTATACTTGCCTATTATGGCCCCATTAGATGTCTTAGGGGCAGGGACATTGTCTGGGTTAACATATTGTTTTTCCAGGGCCTAGCACAATGCTTAGCACAGAGAACAACTAATAAATATTTGTTCCAAAAAATGAGTGACTGGTACGTGGACAATTAATGATTGTTACAGGAATTAAGTATAAGGTGGCTCCTTAATTTGGAGTGGAGAAGGGATTCCTCAGGGTTTTTTTTTTCCTTTTTCTTTTTTTTTTTTTTTAAACCATTGATTTGGCCCTAAAAGAACAGAAGGGAGCATCTCTCTTCTGTGAGTCTCTCCTCTACAAATGGCTCAGGACAGCACACCAGGGACAATGGATAGAGGCAACATCAATCCCCTTCTGATTTCCTGCTTCATAAGATTGTAGAGCCACATGATGAGAGGAACACGCAAGCACATGTTGTTCCTGTGCTGCATTTTATAGATGGGGAAACAGGCCCAAGGAAAGGAAGAGGCTTTTCCAAGACTGTCTACCTGGTTTAGCAGGAGGGACAATGACATTATGGAAGCTTCAGAGAAGGGAAAGAGCTTCTGTCTGTGTAGCTCATTGCCCCAGGCTCTGCCTGCCTGTGAAGCACCAGAGCTGAGTCTGAGCCCTGTGAGTACCTTTAAGCACAGTGCCCTGTTTCATTCATTCATTTGTTTATTTAACCAGTACTAAGCACCTACTCCACCGCCAGGCATTGAATGGACCGTGGGGATACAGCACTGAAAAAAGGTCAAGTCCTTGCCCTCATGAGCTAGCATTCTGATGACAGAGGCATTTACCCTCGTATAAATAAATAATATTTCTCTTTCTGTCCCTGGATTTTGCAATTAGGAGACACTTTATTTAAAAATAATTTAGGCCTGCTACGGTGGCTCATTCCTATAATCCCAGCACTTTGGGAGGCTGAGGCAGGAGGATCCCTTGAGACCAGAAGTTCAAGACCAGCCTGGGCAACAAAACAAGACCCTATATCTACAAAAAACAGTTTTTTAAAAAATTAGCCAGGTTTGGTGGCATGTGTTTATGGTCCCAGCTATTTGGGAGGCTGAGGTGGGAGGATTGCTTGAGTCTAGGAGTTGGAGGCTGTAGTGAGCTATGATTGTACTACTGCACTCCAGCCTGGACAACATAGCAAGACCCTGTCTCTAAAGATAATAATAATAATAATTTAAATGCTGTATCTAGACATTCAGAACAAAAGAGAGGCATTAAATTAAACTAGTGTTATCAAAACTGTTGTTGTCTTTTCATAATCAAGGCAGTTGCAGCTATGAAAATCTCACAAGTACCCTCAACATCTATAACTATTATAATCAATTTTTTTAAAAAAGTAGTTGTAGCAAAAACAGATTCTGATTCTCTGTAAGGAAAGGCTTTCGTTAGAATATTTAAAAGGAGCAGGGTGCCTCTGAGTGTAGAGAGTTTCCTGTTGCTGGAGGTGTTCGTTTATTCGACAAACACTTACGAAGTGCTTACCATAGGCCAGGCCCTGTGCCTGACCCTGGGAAACAAAGACGAATGAGAAATAGCCCCTGTTCTTACCTAACTCACAGTCTTGCAGATACAAAAGGGATTCAAATAACAGTTCAATTCAACTTAGCAAACTTTTATCGGGTGCTTACTGTCGACTAGACACAGTGTTAAAGGTTATTTTCAACTCTACGATTTTTAGTCCCTTATGGTCTTTTATTTTCAGGATTGATAGCTGCCCCTAAATTAGTCCCACATGCAAAATGTCCTCTAATTAGGGAGGAACTGGCATCTGTTATGTTTATGCTTAAGGGAGGAGCATATCTGTTGAATGACAAGCCTTTCCTTTTGCATCATAACCACTTGGACTTTGTCTTACTTCCTTCCCACCAGCTACAGAGATCAGTGGTGGCATCAGGGGAGAAGCAGTTACAAGTGGAGTACCGCATCAGCAAAAGGTAAGAAGGGCCCTTCCTTGGTCATACCTGCTGCCCACCCTCAGGGCCGTAGCATACCTGACTGCCAGTCAGCAACAGCCGTTCAGGGACCGCCAGAGGTGGAGAACCCCTAGTTCACGTTTATAGCGATACATTCTTTTTAAGAGGGAGAAGTTTCCACTCCCCTTTCCCAGATTGTTAGATCATCTGAGGATTTAACTAGAAGGCCATTCGAGAGAGACTTGGAAGAGCTCCTCTGGTCTAAGCCAAAAAATAAGTCTGTAGTTGTTCTTCTAAACAGGATTGCTTTTCCAGAAGATACAGTCCTGTCTACATTTGTAATTTTAACTTTACAAGATTCTGTTCCCACCTCCTGACTCATATTCAAAGCATGACTTGCCAACAATGAGACTGGAAGGACAAATAGACTCTGTGGCCCTGATGGCTTCTGTAGAGAAGCAGATTCAGCTGTGAGAGCCCAGCTTTATCCCACCCCTCCAGCCCTGCCCACCCCCCACTGCAGCCCTTTACTTGCATCCACCAAAGACATGTGAGACAGTGATGTCAGCATCCTTGGCAAGAGGCCAGACCTCAGAATGGGGATTCGTTTGTGCTGTCTGGGAAGGGAGGTGAGTGATCAAAGCTGTGATTCAGAATCATTTATTTGGCTTAACTTACTTGGTCTGGTACATTAAGGGCCTTTCATATTAGTAGTTATTCTCTAAGCTATGGAAGGTCCCTATGACCCTTCCTCAGCTTCATTGCTTTTTCTAACCTTTCTGATATTGTAGTGTCAGAGAGAAAATTCAGCCTTGGGTTAATTGCTTCCAGGGGAGCAGGTGGCATTTTCTTCCCTTTTCAGAACAAGAAACTACTTTCTTTCTCTACTTGCATCACTCTTCAGCTCTTTGACTTTTGATTCTGTCCTCACAACTTCACTGGAGCTGGTCTCCCAAAGGTCACCAGGGAACTTCTAATTACCAATCATTTTCCTGCTCGCACACCTTCACGGACTACCCATTATCCATAAAGTCAAGTCCAGATTCCATATCACAGTGTTTTCAGCTTTCTATGTCATGCCCTGAGGCTGCTTCTCCAGCTGTATCTCCCGTTACTTCTTCCTATCTCCTTATGCATAATTTATTACCACACCTCCATGTCGGTGCTTATGCTGTTTCTTCAGGCTGGAATACTCCTACATCTTTTCCATCTATTGAAATTTTATGTACCCTTCAAAATTTGGCCTAAATGTCACCATCTTACCTGAGTGCCCCACTGGAATGAACTTCTTCTTCCTCTGTGCTCCCCAGCACTTTAAAGTCTGTTTCTCAATTTTTCACTGTACCTTACTTTGTTCTTAGTTATATTTGTGTTTGTCCTTTCTCCCATAATCCATGAGCTCTTAGAAGGCAATAACCCTGTCTTGGGGATCTCTGTAAATCTGAGAGCATGTGGCATAGCACTCTGCTTGCACTCTATTTAAAAGAATGAACACATTAGTTCATCAAAAGCAAAGAGCAAAGAAAAGGTCTTCCATATCATGCCAAGGCTCTTCCCTCAGAGCTTTATGGTCTCCCCAGGAGGCCCACTGGCTTTAGGGAGCACTTCCTCATTTTCCAGGGACATAAATTCTGATTCCAAAATTGCCACTTTGTCAGAACCTCAACAAGACATTCAGGAAAAGAGACTGAACTCTGCTGTTTGGTCTTTGCCCTATCCTGACTTGTCTTGCAGTAGAGCAGAGATTTTCCTGTGTTTAAAAGTAACACTAACATATAGCTCACAAAGTGTCTTCATAAGCATTGCCTCTCACAATCTTTTTAAGTCTGTGAAGTAGACATTATTATCATCCCAATTTTATAGACAACACACTGACCCTTAGAGAGGTTAGTGGTTAAATACTTCACTTAGGATCACAGAGGATTGGGGACTCGTCACATTTCTCTAAATCTCAAGCTTTTCCCACTGTATCCGGGTCCCTCTGTTCAGATGTCTCTACACCATAGTAGCTTTGAAGGCAGGGGTTTTGTCTTATTCCTCTTTGTATCTCAATGCCATGAGATTGTTGAGGTAGAGAACAAAGTGAACTGGGCAGACATACCATGAGGAATGAGTAGGTAATTAGGCAGTTATGTCTGTCTTCCCTCCCTCTCTTCCTTCCTTCCTTCCATCCTTCCTTCTGGCAATTAACGTAATTTATTTGTTTATTCACTCATTCAGAGACATCATTTAGTCATTTCAGGCATCAGATCATTGATGCTTCAATCTGTGGTGTGTTTTAGTGCCTGGCTGAAGGACACCGTTGACCCAATGCTGGTGACCCTTAACCACCGCATTGCTGCCCTCACAGGCCTTGATGTCCGGCCTCCGTATGCAGAGTATCTGCAGGTGGTGAACTATGGCATCGGAGGGCACTATGAGCCTCACTTTGACCACGCTACGGTAATGGTGGAGTCAGTGACCAATCCCCTGGGGTAGGAAGCCAGGGCATTATTTATTTCTCTGAGGCAGAGCTCTTGTAGGCTCTCAGGGAATACTAAGTGAAACCTTAGAACAAAGGTTCTTGTTCTAGAAACATCTGAAAGCATTAGTTTCAAGCATATTGTTGCTGACTCATTTTCTTGTCTGCCACCATCTCTCTTCTAAAATTTGCTGGTGAGGGAAGAATGTGGCTTGTCATGGAATCATCTGACTTCTTCACTCAGGGACTTCCTGGTGAGGATTGTCCTTCCTCCAGTAACTCTTCTATCCTCATGATCTCAACTGGCCATCTTTGCTGATAATAGCAAATACATATATTTTTTAATTTTAGATTCATGGGGTATATATGCTTGTTTTTTATTTACGAATTTATTTATGTATTTATTTTTTTCTTTATAGGCAGGGTCTTGCTCTGTTGCCAAGGCTGCAATGTAGTGGCACCATCATAGCTCACTGCAGCCTTGAACTCCTGGGCTAAGTGATCCTCCCATCTCAGCCTCCCAAGTAGCTCTAGGACTACACCTGGCTAATTAAAAAAAATTTTTTTTTGTAGAGACAAGGTCCTGCTATGTTGCCCAGGCTGGTCTTGAACTCCTGGGCTCAAGCAATCCTCCCACCTCAGTCTCCCAAAGTGCTGACATTACAGGAGTGAGCCACTGCACCCAGCCATGCTTGTTACATGGGTATTACATGTGTAATGGTGGGGACTACAATTCCAGTGTACCCATCACCCAAATATTGAATGTTGTACCTGATACGTAATTTTTCAACTCTCACTCCCCTTTCACCTCCCCCATTTTGGAGTTTCCAGTGTCTGTTACCTGCATCTTTATGTCCATGTGTACCCATTGTTTAGCTCCCACTTATAAGTGAGAACATGCAATATCTTATCTTCTGCTTTTGAGTTAGTTCACTTAGGATAATGGCCTCCAGCTCCATCCATGTTGCTGCAGAGGAAATGATTTCATTCTTTTTATGGCTGGATAGTATTCCATGTTGTATATATACCATACTTTCTTTATTAAATCAACCATTGATGGACATTTAGGTTGGTTCCATTACTTTGCTGTTGTGAATAATGCTGCAATAAGTATCTGGGGGCAGGTGTTTTTTCTTTAATATAATACTTTCTTTTCCTTTGGGTAGATACCCAGTAGTGATTTTTGAGGATTAAAATGACCTCCCCAAAATTGATCTATAAATTGAACCCCAGCTTTATAAAAATTCCAGGAGGGTTATTTTTATAGAAATTAATAAGCTGATCCTAAAATGTATATGGAAATGCAAAAAACCTAGAGCAGCCAAAACAATTTTGAAAAAGAAGAACACATTGGAGGACACACACTACCTGATCTCAAAACTTAGTATAGAGCTACAAGAATCAAGGCAGTGTGGTACCAGTGTAAGGAGAGACACATAGGTCAATGGAACAGAACAGAGTCCAGAAACAAACCAACACATTTATGATCAATTGATTTTGACAAAGGTGCCAAGGAAATTCAGTGAAGAAGATATAATCTTTTCAATAGACGGTATTGGAACAATTTAATATCTATCTGCAAAATAATAATGACTATACATCCTTATCTCACACCATATATGAAAATTAACACAAAATGGATCATAGATGTAAATGTAAAACTATAAAACTTCTAGAAGAAAACATAAGAGAAAATTTTTGTGACCACAGGTTAGGCAAAGATTTCTTAGATAGGACACCAAAGTATAATCCATAAAAGAAGAAAAAAACTGATAAATTGGACCTTATCAAATTAAAATTCTTCGCTTTTCAAAAAATATCGTTAGAAAAGGAAAAGATAAGTCACCAACTAGGAGAAAATATTTGCAAGTCATATATTTGGTAAAGAACTTGTATCCAAAATATCTATAGAACCTTTATAACTCAGTAATAAGATAATTCAATTTTTTTAATGGACAAAAAGTTATTTGAGTAGCCACCTCTCCAAAGAGGATAAATGAATGGCTGAGAAGCATATGGAAAGATGCTCGACATCATTAGGGAAATGCAAATTAAAACCACAATGAGATAGCACTGCACTCTCCTACGATGGCTACAATAAAATAAGATAATACCAAGTGTTGGTGAGGATGTGGAGGAACTGAAGCTCTCATACACTGCTAGTGGGAATGCAAAATTATACAGACACTTTGGAAAAAAGTTTGACAGTTTCTTAAAATGTTAAAGGTTCACCTACTTATGATCCAGCCGTTTCACACCTATGTATTTTACCCAAAAGAAAAAGAAAATATGTCTCTACAAACACTTGTACACAAAAGTTTATAGTAGCTTTATTTGTAATAACCAAGAATTGGAAACAGCCCAGATGTCTGTCAATAGGTGAATGGATAAACAAATTTTGATATATCTGCACAATGGAATGCTATAGAGAGAAAGCAGATAAGTGGGTTGCCTGAGGTTGGAGGTGGGAGCAGGGATTGACTGCTAATTGGCATGAAGGAACTTTTCAGCAGATGGAAGTGTTCTGTGTTCTAAACCTCAATTGTGGGAATGATTGGATGACTGTTAAAATTTACTAAAACTTATTGAACAGTAGGCTTACAAGGGGTGAATTTTATGGAATGTAAATCATATCTCAGACTGTTCCATCACAAAAAGAAAAGAGCATGTCTCTTCAGCAAGTAATTGGAACTCTGGTCTTCTGATTTGGTGTTCCTACAGAATAATTATCTGTAATATTTTATATATTAATTGCTATATTTCACAGAAAACTCAGAGGTGCAATTAACCCCTTATATAGTACTTTCATTACTGACAAGTAGTTCTCTTTGGTATTAGTATACAATTTTTTTATATAAGTATCTAATAAATTAGTAAAAAAAAAAGAAAATTGTATTGAGTACCTGCCAGCAAAGGCGGGCACATACTCCAGTAGGTGTAGCTCAGAACTATATCCCATCTTTGAAGCCCCCATTTTACTTCTATTTGTATTAATAGTGGGATCCTGCCTGTCCCACTGGTGCCATGTGCGTAAAATAATGATATGTTCTGTTTTTTTTCTCAGTCACCAAGCAGCCCCCTCTACAGAATGAAGTCTGGAAACCGAGTTGCAACATTTATGATCTATGTGAGTCTTGCTCTGGGCTTCTTACTTCATGACTGACTATAGCTCTACTTTATTTTATTGTTTTCAAAGCAATTTCTTATATTGATTTTATCTGGTACTCAGCGCAAAAATCTCCCAGAATTTTGCAAATTTCAGACAGCATTTTTGATAGGCACTGTAGGAGATGTAAAGAAATACAAGACAAGGTTTCTACCCTTAAAGAGCTGACAGTGTGTAAATCTAAATATGACCTTGGTATGGGCAGTGGATTAGGATGGGAAGTAGAGCTCCACTGAAGGCAAAGAGATAGAGAAACTTGAACAACACAGGAGGAGGATCTGAGAGTCTGTGTCCTTGAGGTCTCATGGACTAATGAGTGTTGAAAAACAACCCATAGATGAGGTTGTGGAGCTGTGGGGAGAGACAGGGATGAGGAATGAGGCAGCAGATTTACAAGAGGGAAGAATAGAGACACTGAGAGAAATTCAGCGAGTGCTGCCTCTGATATTTAGTGAAAATTATCTTCCTTATCTCTCTGTAAAATCTTCAGTAAAATCTTCATGACACCCCTTTCAAAATAAAACAATAAATTGTACTTCTCTCCTAATTCCTGGCCTGATCAGGATTCGGCCCCAGTCTGTATCATCTCACCTATCCCCTTTCCTTCAGATTATGTGGGTTTACTTCCTTCTCTGTGGCAAGCCATAATTTCAATCACCTGTCACTGGAAGAGATTATTAGAATTAATCACTTATTAGAAGAGATATCTTACTGTTCACTGAAGGGGCTCTATATAACAACCAAGGATGAAGTCCTTGTTTCAGGCTCATTAGAATAACAGACATCCTGTACCCCAGCTTTTCCTCTTCTATTAGAACTGTTTCTGGTCTCCACAGGACAGTCAAGAAAGGGCAGTTGGAGGCCAGCATTCTGTGTAGTCTTTAATGCCAGCAATGTCAATGTGTTTCTCTATGTGGCTCAGTTCTGTACTTCTATGGAACTGGAAGGCTTCCACTTACAATGGTGTCTGGCCTCATTCTGATCATTGGAGCTGCAGCTGGTTGCATCTCTGGTTTAGCACTCCAACTGTCATGGGAGGTCACAGACAGTGAAAGAATGAACTACTGCCAAATAAATAAGGCATCTAGGGCACAATATATCTCTGTTCTTTATCCCCTCAGTATCTCCTATGGCTGGTTCCCTGGTTACAGGGCCCCAGTTACTATAGCAAAGGTAGCATGGGTATAAAAGCCCAGTAATTTTAAATGGCAAATGCATGTGTGTGTGTTTGTGTTTGTGCACGCACTCTCACACACTTTCACATGCATGTGCATGAATGTGCATTTGGGTTTTAAGTATTTGAGACACAGTGGAATGGAATGCACTTTGGGTTTGGAGTCAGTTGACCTAATCCTGATTCTGCCACTTACTATGTGACCTCAGCACAGATTACATCTATTATTTGAGCTCACTTTTCGCCCTGTGCTTCCTCATAGTGTTGTTGTGAGGATCTGATGAGATAATGTAAGAAGGGATGTCACTCTGGAAAGTTCCATACTATATGTTTCTGTCATTGTATCCTACAGAGCAATTAAAGGAAAGGGATGATTCTGATTCTGCCACTTACTATGTAACCTCAGCACAGATTACATCTATTATTTGAGCTCACTTTTTGCCCTGTGCTTCCTCATAGTGTTGTTGTGAGGATCTGATGAGATAATGTAAGAAGGGATGTCACTCTGGAAAGTTCCATACTGTATGTTTCTGTCATTGTATCCTACAGAGCAATTAAAGGAAAGGGTCTCGTAAAGGGGAATCAGTATCGTGGGACCTGGGAAGTGCTAGATTATGCCTGTCTTTTATCTGCAGGTTGGGATTTCTTGAGACAATTTCAAGACAAACATTTCTCAAGACAAATGTTAAGGTCTGTGGGAAACCTAAGACTGATATTGTAGGGAGGAAATAATCTTTAAGAAGTACAGAGGATTGAGTTGAGATCCAGTTGGTGATTTTCTGCTCAGATTGGACATAAGATCAGTCCCAAGCTGGGTGCAGTGTGTGCACCTGTAGTCCCAGCTACTTGGCAGGCTGAGGCAAGAAAATCGCTTGAGCCCAGCAGTTTGAGTCCAGCCTGGGTAACAGAGTGAGACCCTGTCTCTATTAAAAAAAAAAAAAAATTCAGCCCCAATACAAAACAGTAGAAGGTATACAGAGGGAAGATTTCTCTCCCTTCCCCACTGTTCTCATGGCCCATGCTGTGCTCATGAGCTTCATTGCATGCAAAATCTGATTTTCTTTTTAGTGTGTTGGCTATGTCATTCCTTTCCACCATATTGTAAAACCACAGGTAAAAGAATGCAAGAAAGTCCAGGTTGCCCCTTACTGGCAAGGGCTGGAATAGAATAATCTAATTTGTTAGTTACTTAAACACAAGGAACCAATTGTTGTTCTTGTCGGCTTTCCCAGTGTGCTACAGGGGGAGCCAAGGAATGCTGATAGTCACCACTGCCATTTCCAGGTTCCAAATCACCACGTCAGTTCACTTGCATCTACCAAGGGCCAGCGTCCTACCTCCTATACCTTTTGCTCTGTAACACAAGTAAATGTGCTGGGATCTGACTGCCATAAGATTAAAGAGCATGAACCTTCCGGTAGATAGTGCTAGGCAGCATGAGGTAAAACTGGCACTTTTGTGTGATGCAACTGCTGCAAAAATAATTTAGCAAAATGTGTAAGAAGTATAAAACTTATGCATATCCTTTTGACCCCATAATACTAGTGCTAAGACTCTTTCCTATGAAAACAATCCAAAATGCAAAGTGATTTGTTTTCATTAAGTTGTTCAGTGCAGTGTTGTTTATAATAGTAAATGTTTGGATATGACCTAAATTTCCAAAGGTGTAGCATGATGGTTATGAGCAGGGGCTTTGTAGTCACACGGCACTGGCTCAGCTCAAATCCTGGCTCTGTCTCGGAAGAGTCATGTGACCTTTTATAAGGTACCTAAGCTCTCTGAGACTTGGTTTCTTCATCTGTAAAATGAGAAGAGTTAAAAATAATAACAATTGTAACTCCTAGGATTGTTTTGAGGAATAAATGAGATAATATATTTGTAAGGACATAGTGTAACGTCTAGCATATAGTCAGTGCCCAATAAGTGTCAACTATCACTAAGTCAACTGTAACTTTTTTCTGGATGGTACAATGATAAGTATTGTTATTTAAAAATATTTTCCTGTTTTAAAAAAGTTTATAATTATTATATATTTCTGTGACAACCAGAAAAAAAGCTTCACATTAAGAAAACATATCCATAATCCTAGAACAGACCAGTGATGAAACTCCTTAGCTTGGGTTTCCTGGAGAGGAGCAGAGTGATCTGGAGAATACGCCAAAGGTGTAATGAGTAGTTCCTATGATGCCCAGCTTCCAAGAAGAATCATAGTCTAAACTGGTTTTCAAGCCACAAGTCATGATCCGTTATAGGTTGTGAGATTAGTTTAGTGGTTCTGATGAGCATTTCAGAGAACTACGCTAGAATAAAATAAAATAAAATAAATAGAGAAGATCAGAAGTTATCTCAGTAAGAATGTTTTATGACAATTATATTTCAGGCTGTGTGTGTGTGTGTGTGTTTGTGTGTTTGTTTGTATGTGTGTGTGTGTGTCTTGGGTCATTATTTAAAATGTATTTTTTCCTAAGGGTCTCAGTCAAAAAAGTTTGAATCTACTTATTGTAGCCCTCAATAAGGATGTTAACTGGAAGGGAAAAGAAAGAAGGAATACCAAAACATTGTCCTCTTATGGCCCTGTAGGCAACACCAATGCCATTGAGTAGGCTCCTGAAATTCCTCCTAAGTTGGATCACTGTCTTTCAAGTATTTCTCTCAGAGTTGAATAGAAGACCGTGGGAAGGAATCTATGCAGAAATGACGTCATATGACAGGGTAGGGAAGTCGGTGGCTGTTTTAACTCTGGCTTCTTCCTCTGGTCTTGTAGCTGAGCTCGGTGGAAGCTGGAGGAGCCACAGCCTTCATCTATGCCAACCTCAGCGTGCCTGTGGTTAAGGTGAGTGGGGCCCTGGTCCCAGAAGATGGAGTTGAGGGAGTGCAGCGCTCACGCCCTAACCTTCACGCTCTCTGTGCTTGCAAGCCCATTCCTGGGAGGAGGGCCAAAAAGAGATCTTCCCCAATTCTCAGAATCACAGATCATCCAATAGTCTTCTTTACTATCACAAACATACTTGTCACTTGTGCCTCTATTTGTTATTTTATTTACACTTACCTCGCGAGTAGATGATTACACGTCTGTCTTCCCTGTCACAGTACAGCTCCTCAAGATAAGAGCTCTGTTTTATTTACTTTGGATCCTCTACAGCAGCTAGTTCCTTCCATTATTAGTTCAGTCCACATTAAGAGCTAGAGACACAGTGGGTGCAGAGGGAAATTCATAGCCCTTTGATCCAGGAGTTTACAGAGATGTCAGCAGGCATTCTGATGGCGCAATAGGAATTTGGAAAGGGTAGGCGCCGAGGAGAACTGAGTATAGGAGGTTTGCTTCATGAATGAGCATTTCCTCCAAATTTCAGATCAGTCCAACTCCCTGGCAGCCCTTACCTAATTTAGGAATGAAATGTAGATAACTAAATGAGATCATTCCTGTAAAGCAGGTAGTACAGTGCCTGACGCATTCTAAGCATTTGATAAATCAATGCCAGGTATCTCTGAATGCTCAGGAACTTGGTGCCTCTTGTAGGCTTGGGAACATAGAGACTGCCAACGCATCCTGGAAAGCTCTTCATGACCTGGGGTTTTGTCTACTTTGAGGGCCAAGGTTAAAGTAATTTGACTACAGGAAGTAGATAGGGCAAAGAAGCAGTGTGTGGGGGAAAAACATACAGGATTTAGCGTCAGAACACCTGGGCTTGTGTCCTCACTTTGCTCCTTCTTTTGCTGCATTATTTAAAGCCCTGGGCCTCCAGTTCTTTGCTAGGAAAATGGGGACTATGATACTGCCTGCTCCCTGAAGGTGTTAGTCATAAGTGCCTACAGGAGGAAAAGCTTCTGAGTTGGTGATGTGCTTGGCTGTGTAAGGAATATTTTGTTCCACCTTGTGGTTTTGTTGGGTGTTTCTCCTCAGTGACCCAATGACAAACATGCTCACCTTTCTCCCAGAACTCACCACGCTGTCTTGTTCAGGTCTGTTTTTTTTTTTTTTTTTTTTTTGAGACGGAGTCTCCCTCTGCTGCCCAGGCTGGAGTGCAGTGGCCGGATCTCAGCTCACTGCAAGCTCCGCCTCCCGGGTTTACGCCATTCTCCTGCCTCAGCCTCCCGAGTAGCTGGGACTACAGGCGCCCGCCACCTCGCCCGGCTAGTCTTTTGTATTTTTTAGTAGAGACGGGGTTTCACCGTGTTAGCCAGGATGGTCTCGATCTCCTGACCTTGTGATCCGCCCGCCTCGGCCTCCCAAAGTGCTGGGATTACAGGCTTGAGCCACCGCGCCCGGCCGTTCAGGTCTGTTTTATGTCTGTTTCTTGTGAGCTCCTGGAGAGCAGAACTGGACGTGATTTGTCTCTGCAGCCCCAGGACCTGGGGCACAGTGGACTCTGTCAGTGACCCATGCGTGAATGAGTAAATGGCAACTTATGCCATTTTGTGCCATTTTATGCATGCATTGCCCCCAGACTGCATGGAAAGGCTTCTTCAATGACATGCCTGCATTTGTCCTTAGTATGTGCTTCCCGAGGACTGAGGTTCTGGGCTGACCCTCCCTGGGGCTGGGCCCTCTTGTTTCAGAATGCAGCACTGTTTTGGTGGAACCTGCATAGGAGTGGTGAAGGGGACAGTGACACACTTCATGCGGGCTGTCCTGTCCTGGTGGGAGATAAGTGGGGTAAGTCCTGCCTTTCTAGCATGAGAAGGGGGTACGGGGTGCAGAGTAGAGTGAAACAGGGGATGGGTGGGACCTAGCACAGCCATCCCATTCTAAACGCTTCATTACAGTGCCACATTATATTGAGAAGATCGGATTATGAATGAGGTGCCCCCAACAGATTGGGAGCCCATAACAGGCAGGGGTTCCTGTTACAGAGTAACTGTCAGTAAAGGTTTATTCACCTGACCAGATAGGCTTTGATTCCTGAGGACCTCCAGAGAGGAATATGTTGTCCCATCCACACTCTACCCCAAGGAAAGATGTGTCAAGCCATTGCCTCTCGCATTTAGTGTTCCCCATGAGGAGGTGGGAAAACAAAGAAGAGATCAGTAAGCAGATGGACGTGTTTATGTCACATATACGTCCAGGAGCACTTAGCTCTGAATACAGAAAAAGAAGTGGAAGGGGGCTCATGAGCTGAGGTGGAGGCTGCCAGGAGATGCCATCCGTTTTTCTCTCAGTACTCTGGAATGGCTTCACGGGGAACATGGGCTTCTAAAATGAAGGGTGAGTGACCTTAGTTCCCAAACATTTGAAAATGAGTTTACAGGAGACAGGACCTGTCACATTTTTCCAGAGGACGATGTCCTCTTTGCTATTTATCTGCTGGAACAAACAGCTTGTAGTCCATAGTGAGGCCAGGACTAGGATGGGCAAGTGAGTTGCCTAGGATGCAGAATTTAAGGGGGTACTCACATGCCCCTGTGAGTGCGCACCAGTCTGCAGCACTGCTGCTGTTTGCTCTGCTGAGTCTGCCGTCTCCTTCTTCCCCATTCTCTCCCAGTGGCCAACAAGTGGATACATGAGTATGGACAGGAATTCCGCAGACCCTGCAGCTCCAGCCCTGAAGACTGAACTGTTGTCAGAGAGAAGCTGGTGGAGTCCTGTGGCTTTCCAGAGAAGCCAGGAGCCAAAAGCTGGGGTAGGAGAGGAGAAAGCAGAGCAGCCTCCTGGAGGAAGGCCTTGTCAGCTTTGCCTGTGCCTTGCAAATCAGAGGCAAGGGAGAGGTCGTTACCAGGGGACACAGAATGTACGTTTGATCTGCTCCAGCCATGGGAGTCAGAGTAGGATGCATAGTACAAAGGAGGGGGGAGTGGAGGCCTGAAAGGCAAGTTTCTGGAGCTCAGATACTCTCTGTTGGGAACAGGACATCTCGACAGTCTCAGGTTCGATCAGTGGGTCTTTTGGCACTTTGAACCTTAACCACAGGGACCAAGAAGTGGTAATGAGGACACCTGCAGGAGGGGCTAGCCTGACTCCCAGAACTTTAAGCCCTTCTCCCTACTGTCTTCTGTTGCAGCCCAAGTAGGGAGTGTCCCCCTCCCAGAAGCATATCCCAGACAAGTGGTACATTATATAAGGACTTTTTTAAAGTTGAAAGCAACTTTCTTTTCTTTTTATATGATGGCTTTTTAATACAGTCATTAAAAATGTTTACAAATCATTTTCCCAACTGCGAATATTCTTACATTATAATGCTGAGTGGAAAAAAAGGCACAGTACAGTTGGCCCTCCACATCCATGTGTTCCCCATCTATGGATTGCACCTCAGATTGAAAATATTGGAAAAAAAAAAACCATGGATGATAACAGACTTTATTCTGTACATGCTCAGTACAGAAAAAATAGATTGTATTGTATTCCCTAAACAACACAGTATAACATCTTCTTACACAGCTTTTAAATTGTGTTAGGTATTATAAGTAATCTAGAGGTGACAAAGTATATGGGAGGATGTGTGCAGGTTGCAGGTTATATGCAAATACTACACCATTTTATACAAGAGACTTGAACATCTGTAGATTTTGGTGTCCTCTTGAAGTCCTGGAACCAACTCCCCATGGATGCTGAGGAATGACTGTACAGCATTTTATTTATGCTGTAATCTCAGTGCAGCTCACCTCCCACCACTGTCCCACTGTACATTCCAGATACCGGAATTCTTTCTTGTCCCCATCACCACCATGTCCATCACCACCACCTTCACTCCCACTTCTCAGCCCTTGACATTTGCCATCCCCTCAGTCTTTCCACCGCTGAGCTCTTTTCGTCATTCCACTCAATGCAGTGGCTCAATATTACCTCACAGAGCTTCCATGACCATGCCACCACCCAGCCACTTTCTTTCATATGAACTGACTTTGTTTTCTTCATAACACTTCTCAGGATTGAAATGACTTTGTTCATTTGTTTAACTTTGGTCAGTTGCCTTCCTTGCAGTGAAAGTGCTTTGTGGCTGTGCTGTACTTTGTAAATGCCTCTATTCCAGCCCTCAGGTCACCGAATTTCAATGTTTATGTATTTGCCAGGCTGCCCCCTCTAGGCTCTGTGCTCCTCATTCCTCTCGGTAGCCCCAGAAGAAGGTCTGGTTCAGCGTAAGGAGGCGTTCAGCAGTTCTGAAAGGCATCCTCTGAGCTGTGCTCTGGAGGACATAGACTTTTTGTAAGTGGAGTGTGATGAGAAGTGTTTCCCAGCAAAAGGCCTAGCAGGGGCTAAGGCTGCATGGATGGGTGATTGTGATATTTGGGCACTTGTGCCAAGAGAACATTTCAGGCCACTTGGCTCAGGATCCTTCACAGGGCTGTGGGCATGTATTGCTCACAAGGAAGCCACACAGTGTAAGGACTGGGTGGTTGGATGCTCGCCGTCTCTGCCCCTTCCCCGCAAGCCCGTAGGACCTCAGCTTCCCAGAGCTCTGTGGCCCCGAGGGAAAGGCTCTGATGTTCTAACACCCAGCTTCCTCAGAGTCTGAAGTGCATCTTGTCACATTCCCAGGATTTCTGCAGAGCACACCAGGATTCTGGAAATCCTCTTACTAAGTTACTATCACTACTCACAAGCTGCCTCCTCCAGTTCCAAGAGGAACAGGCCTGAGACGAGACAGAAAGCGACTGTCTGCAGGGGAGGCTGCTCCCTTTTCATCACAGAACCTGGACTTCTCAGAATTACAGGATGGGTCTGAGCTAATCAGAGTATTGGCACTGTTCTAAGAGCTTCATGCGTTAAATATTTAATGCTCATTCCAACCCTATGAGGTCAATACAGTTATCCCCATTGTACAGATAAGGAGGCAGATTTATAGAGTTAAGTCACTTGTTGAGAGTACCACAGACTGGCCCCAAATCTTGCGCTTTTAATAATGTCTGAGATGGGGCAGTTATCAAACATCTTGACCAGGAGACTGAGACTCAGAAAAGTCTGGCTGCAAATTAATAACTGCTTAATGAGTAATCCTCAGGGGCAGGCCCTGGGCTCAGCGGGTGCTGTGGGGATACAGAGGATGTAGCCCTGGAAGCTGGGCCGGTAGGGGGATAAGACAAAATGCATCCTGAGTTCAGTGTTGTCGAAGCACAATGTGACAATGTTGCATGCAGAAAGAGATGAATGACCACTGAATGCTGCCATCAAGAGGGAGGGGAGCCTTGTGATTTGGGGTAGTTGAGAAAGCCTCATTTGTTTATTCGAGTCACACTGACAAGGTGCCTACTCAGTGTCAGGCCCTTGCTGGCACTAGGGAGGGAAAGGAGAATTACATGCTGACCCTGCCCCTAGAAATGGAGCAGACCCTCAAATCATCACAAGACATGTGGCCACGAGTGGAGACATGAACAGGCTGCATTAAGAGGCTCCCCTCACCCCTGGAAGTTTCATGGGAAGGAGGGACTTGAGCAAGTCTTGAAGATGAGCAGAGTCCCTAGAGGCTGAGGAGAGACCAGGCTGGGTGTATACTAGGGGGCATGCTGTAGGGACAGTGACACTTTACTTTTGGCCAGCATGTTCATTGTCAAAACACTTTACCACTCCACTTGAACTTCACCTCCCCAGGGAGGAGAGAATAGCAGGTACTGTGGAAAGTGAGGTGGGAATGGTTAGTGGCTTCCTGGGGCTTCCTGGTAGAGCTGGGGCTGGTCTGTCTCCCTTACCAGTGTTCTTTCCACCAGACGGCTTTCAAAACCACGTTGCTCCTAGAGTGGAAAGGCCTAATTCTTATATTTGCACTAATTGTTATATTTGCCTAATTCTATATTTGCACTAGTCTCCATGCCCTCTGAATCTGACCAGTCCTGATAAAGTGGCATGGCCTTGGGTCCCACTTAGTAGATAGATAGACAGCTAATTCTAAGCAGGGTCAACTGTGGCTTGGGGCACTGATATTTTTATAATTTTATTTCTTTCTTTCTCAGACTCCAAGTTCAAGTGATCCTCCCGCCTCAGCCTCCAAAGTGCTAGAATTACAGGCATGAGCCACTGCACCCAGCCTGTTTCTTTCTTTCTTGCACTGTTCTGTGAGCTGTTTTCCAATAGCCTTGTCCAACCTGGGTTTCTGGCACTGCACTATATATCACTTGCAAGCCTGATTCCAGATAATATTCTTTACATTAAAGTCTATTATCATTATCATTAGTAACCATATCATTTATGATAGGCCAGGCACTGTGCTGAGAACTTAGGTGTATTTGTCTCCTTTAAGCCTCAAAATGAGATGAGTACTATTATGCCCATTTTATAGATGAGGGAAACTGAGGCAGAGAAAGTATAACTTGCCTGAAGTCATCCAAGTATAAAATAGCAGAGGCAGGATTCAAATCCATGTCAGTCTGTCACCAAAGACCTTAACTAGCCCTCCGTTGTCTGTATTCCATGTTATTTTGCTGTCACTTCTGTGCTTCCATTGACAATAATCTTTTGGAGCCAATAATTTTACAGCAGGGGGACCTCCAACATTTTCCCAGGTATTGAAAAGGTCTATCGCTTGTGCCACTGATGCCTAATAGTTAAGAACTCTTGTCAGATGTAGATATCTGTTGAATATAGGAATGAATCAGTTCTGCAAATGTATGGTGAACACTTGTTGAGTGACCTGCCCATGCTAGCTGCTTCATGAGAATCCAAGAAAAGAAGACAGCCTGCTCACTGCCCTTAAGGCAGAGCTGGTCCATGCCCAGATGTAAGCGAGAATTGGATAGAATCAAGTGGGAAGCTGTGTGCTGCTCATCCTAAGGATTGTGGGAGCTTGGAGCGAGAGCAGGACCCTGTGGCCAGAATATGCTGAGGGTGTCCACGTTAGAGCCCCAGAAACACATGGAAAGAGGAAGAATGTGTGCCTGTGCAATGCAAGGTGCAGCGGCCATCCTGCTTGTCCCTCTTTCAGACACAACAGGGGAGTAGAGAGAGCTGTCTGGGAGGAGAAAGCAAGAGGGTGTTGATTCCGGGGACTCTTGTCCAGTAACGCCAACGGCAGCACAAACTGCCTTCTCATAGAACCACTGAAAGAGTCTCTTGTTGGGGGCCTTGGCTGCTCAAGCTGGGAGAAGCAAAGGAGCCTGTGTGTAGGGGCTGGGGTTGGGAGAGAGGGACATTGACCTGCAGATTGCTGTGTACTCAGTAGAACTATGAAATCGGCTAAGGGCTAGGGGGAGGAAACAAACATTTGTGCCTACTCTTTGCTGTGGATCACTCTCCTGTATCATAGTCACAACAATTATCATCCCTTTTGGCAAAGGAGGAAAGTGGGGTTTAAAGAAAAGACATCACTGAGTTCACACAGCCAGGGGCAGAACCAGGATCTGGAGCTTGGTGGGGAAGTCTCCCACTTCTCCTAGCTGCTTCTAACCTCTTTCTGGACTTTTTCTCTCTTCCCCGCTGTGGACCCCCACAATTTTCTACCCCTTCGGAATCAGAGCCTGCCTCTTTCCCTTCTTCCTCTCTGCCACATCCCTCTTTATATTCACTTCATTGGTCACAGGACCCCTCCCATGAAGGGCTTGATCTGCCCATTCTCCCTAAGGTTTGAGTGACAGAGTTTCCCTGTCCTTGACAGGGGCATATTTGCGTTAGAAATGGGTAGCCTGGTGAAATCAAAGATTAGCTCAAAGGAATAAGGTGCTAGGAGTGAATTCTAGGCACCAGGATGCCTGCATGGTGACAGTGTTTTTGGTTCAGGGTTCAAGGGCATCGCTCAGATGGAGCCCCATAGATAATGACATCCCTACCACCTTTAAAGTCCACCACATTTTCAGATGGAGCATAACTCTAAAATAATGACCACCATGTCTCCTGTTCACCTGCTTATCATCTTATGGGGCTGGAGGGCAGTAGTTAGTTCCCCTGCCCTAGAAAAGTAAAGCAACTTGCCCATAATTCCACTGTGTGTCAGTGTCAGCTCAAGACTAGAAGCAAGGTTTCCTGGCTCAGAGACACACGCTTTTTCCAATGCGCCACAGGTGCTTCTTGGAACAGGTGCACAGTGGACAAATGAGCACAGACTGCATGTGTGGCCTGTCATTTATTCATTCAGCTAAGCATTCCTGATGTTGCCTCTGGGCCAGGACCTTTGCTGGGGCTGAGGATGCTGGGATGACTGATTGAGTCTCTGACCTTGAAGAGCTCCCAGAAAAGAGAACCCACAATGACTATACTAGTGAAATACTAGTGAAAATACTGACATATGTGAAAATATGGTGAAAATAGTTACAATCCCAGTGAAATACTAGTGAAAGAGGAACGTATAAAATGTTATTGATAACGGCAGGAAGCAGACAAATGCCTAGGCAGATAGGATGGGGTCCCCAGTGAAATCCTACCTTCAAGACAAAGACAGTTTAAAGTCCAGCTACAAGTCCCAGCTAAATCCATGAACCAGATTGAGAACCTGTTTTCCCATTCAGTGCGCTTTCCTCCGATTGCTCCCCACCTTTCACCTATTTTATGTATACCTACCCTTTCCTAATTTTTTTTTTATACTGTGAGTGGTGTCTTTGCTTTAACCTTTTTTGCATACTGACAAACCAGTCAGCACACACTCCCCATTCTGAGTCCATAAAAAGCCCCAGACCCAGGCACAGAGAGATAGAGAAACCATCTGACTGCAGGGGTTGGGGACCACCCCTCCTGTCCCCTCTCCACTGAGAGCTTTTCTATCACTCAATAAAATTCTTCTCTGCCCATCCTCACTCTTCAAATTGTCAGCATATCCTCATTCTTCTTGGACATGGGGAAAGAGCTCAAGAACCCCTGAATGTGGGTACAAGCTATAGCACAGGTGGGTCAGTGGGCATGGTACCTCCAGAGGCAGGTCTGTGGCCATGTGAGGCCTGGGCAGGAGGCATTGCTGGCCATGGAGGTCCCCGGTTGGCAAGTAGCAGAGAAGAATCCTGTGTCATTATCAAAGTTGTGAGAGACATGATTATGTCTTTCATGTGATGGGGTCATGTGACTTTTGATTTGGATATTGAAGGATAAGGAGGTCCATATGTGCATATGGAGGTGGGAAGGCTTATCACCCTAACTCACAGGTCCTTAGATTAACATTTGTCCAACTGTTATTTAGGTTGATGCAAAAGTAACTGCGATTTTTGCCATTACTTTTAATGGTAAAGAAACACAATTACTTTTGCACCAACCTAGTAAAACCATTTATGCTCTTTTGATAAACCTAAAACTTTCTTTAGTCTTACAAATTCAGATATATCACTCTAGGAGAAGAGATTTTGTCTAACTTTATGATCTGTAATCTGTTTTGGGAAAACAGATTGCTTTTCCATTTACCACATAAAAAATTACATTAAATCTTCTTTTAAAAATTGTACATGTAATTTTCTTGTAAAAATACACAATTTTCTTGTAAAAATGGTGAGAAACTCTCACAATTCTCTCCAGATTCTGGGGTCCTAGAATCTCTATTTTTTACTCTCTGGCAACAAAAAAGGGAACAGGAATTGTCAGCAGGCTCAACCTGAAGGAATGGTTTTATCCTGCTGCCACTGTGTGAGCTGCTAAGCCTTGTGAACCCTCCAGGGCCTGGGGCTAGAGAGACCCTCCCTCCCTGTCCAGCTCCCTGGGTCCCTCTGTCTCTTATGATTTTGGGATGGGACAGGTAGGGCAAGCCCCAAGTCCCTGGGCCAGCCAGCATCAGCCCACATTTCTGACCCTAAAGCCCTCCTTCTCCCTCCATATTTGCGGTCTTGAAATGCAAATAAGGAACCACTTCACACTTCCTAGGATGGCTACAATTAAAAAACAGAAAATAAGTGTCACTACGGATGTGGAGAAACTGGAACTCTCATGCGTTGCTAGTGGGGATGTGAAATGGTGCAGCCACTGTGGAAAACGGACTGGTGATTTCTCAGAAAGATAAACACAGAACTGTCATCTAACCGAGTCATTCCACTCCCAGGTATGTATCTGAAAGAATGGAATGATAGCTGTACACCCATGGTCATAGCAGCTTTATTCACAATCGTCAGAAGGTGGAAGCAGACCCAGGTGTCCATCAAGAGAATGGCTAAACAAAATATGGAATATGCATGTACTAAAATATTCAGCCATAAAGTGGAACAGAATTTTGATACACATTACAACATGGATGGACTTGAAAGCATTATGCTAAATGAAATAAGCCAGACACAAAATAAATATTGTAGGATTCCACCTGTGAGCTACCTAAAATAGGCAAATTCAGAGACCAAAAGCAGAATAGAGGCTGGGTATGCAGGCGGGAGTCACTGCTTAATGGGTACAGAGTTCTTGCTGGGGATGATGAAAAAGTTGGGGTATAGATAGTGGTGTGGTCCACAGCCTTGTGAATGTCATTGATGCCACTGGACTGTTCATTTCCACATGGTTAAAATGAGAAATGCTGTGTTAGCTATGGTTTACTATTAAAAAAAAAATCCTGGTTAAAAGTTTTTTCTCTTTTTGAGATGGATTCTTGCTCTTGTCACCCAGGCTGGAATGCAGTGACGTGATCTTGGCTCACTGCAACCTCCGCCTCCTGGGTTTAAGCGATTCTCCTGCCTCAGCCTCCTGAGTAGCTGGGATTATAAGTGCCTGCCACCATACCTGGCTAATTTTTGTTTTTTTAGTAAAGACAGGGTTTCACCATGTTGGCCAGGCCTTGTGATCTGCCCACCTTGGCCTCCCAAAGTGCTGGGATTACAGGCGTGAGCCACTGCTCCTGGCCAAAAATTTTTTGAGAAGGACGTCCCCAGGCCAGAGGAGGGTGCATCGTGGGCCGCTCTCAGGCCCCAGGGGCACACTGGCTTCCACTAATTCTGCCTGAGCAGCCCCACCCAGCAGGAGTAGTAGGATGGCTGTGCCTTGGTCTCCCCGCCCTTTGGGGATTCCCTTATCTTCTTAGTGCCATGGCATCTACTGTTTTTCACCTTATCTACTGTAGGCAGCAGCTTTTACTATACTTGGATACTTAGTCTCATTTACCCTCATAACACCTAGTGAATTAAGGATTATCACCCCATTTTGGGATGCAGAACCTGTAATTCTGAAGGAAGTGATGTGCCAGAGGTCACCCAGCTAGTAGGAGGCTGAACTGAGCTTGGAGCATTTCTCTCACCATCAGGCCCTAGTCCTCCACGCCCCTGCCCCACCCCTCCTCTCCTTTTGCTATGGTGTGAGACTAAAAAGGCACTGACTGGTCTGGAAGTCAGGTGGCCTGAGTTCTAGTCCAGATTGTGCTACCGTGTGACCCTGGACAAATCACTTTCCTTGTCAGAGCCTCGAATTCCTCATCTGTAGGAGGCACTGCTGATTTGTCTGCCCTCCCCACTCCAGAGGAGTTTGGAGGTCTCAAAGGTTATAAATGTGCTTTATAATGATACAGACGGTATCATGTCAGTTATTCTAAGCTTGTTTGATTAGTCATTCTTAAGTCATTATGGAATGGCATCATTGTCACTAATCAGGAAGAAACTTTCTCCCTCGACACTGTTCACTCCTCAGCCACCTACTGCCTGCACCTGGAAGAGGCCAGCCTCTCCGCTAGTCTTGGGTTCCAAGGTTTTGCCTGGCTGTGGGCTGGAGTTTTCTAGCAAACTGCTGGGAGAGGAAGCCAGCTCGAGGAATAAGGGAGCCTCTTGAGTTGACATAACTTTCTGAGCCCTGGCCCCAGACTGAGAATGTGTTGATTCTGGCTGCTGGTGGGGTGGCCAGCTGGAGCAGCAGCGTTGGCTCCAAGATTGCAAACAAAACAGTGACCGCAGGGAGAAGTGTGACTGCCTTTAGCTTTCTCTGCTGCTAGTGTAAGCTCTCCTCTTGCTTTTCCCTTGGTAAAACCTTCACCTTTCACTTCCAACCCCCACTTTGCATGACAGGCCCCTGCATCCAACTTAAGGGTTCTTGGCCCCTCACTTTTGAAATCTAACTAGTTTCTTTCTTGTTCATTCCACCTCCAAAATATTGAGACTATCCTGTTCTCTCAGGCCGGTGGCCACTGTCCTAGTTAAGTATACCTCTGTCTTTTCCTTGCCCGATTAAAACTGCCTCTTTACTGACCTCTTGGCCTCGTGTCTGGCACCCACCAATCCATCTACGCAGGCTACCAGGGTGACTTTCCTTTATAAAAAAGACCTGACCTTGTCACATCCCTGTTTAATAACTTCTGGAAACTCCTTATTCTTGACACTTAAGGCCTTTATGCCCTGCCTCCTACCTCCTCTCCTGTCTCGGCCCATACTCCAGCCACAGTTTTCTTCCTAGGCTGACTTTCAAGTCTCCAGTGCTTGTCTGTGCTGTTCCTTCTACCTGGAATGTCTTGCCCTTCCTCCTCCACCTCCACTTTGTGATACTTCAAGGCTCAACTCAAATGCTGCCTCTTGGCTGGGTTTGGTGGCTCACACCTGTAATCCCAGCGCTTTGGGAGGCCGAGGCGGGCAGATCACTTGAGGTCAGGAGTTTGAGACTAGCCTGACCAACATGGCAAAACTCCATCTCTACTAAAAATACAAAAATTAGCTGGGTGTGGTGGCAGGCACCTGAAACCCCAACTATTTGGGAGGCTGAGGCAGGAGAATTGCTTGAACCTGGGAGGCAGAGGTTGCAGTGAGCCAAGATCATACCACTGTATTCCAGCCTAGGCGATGGAGGAGACTCTGTCTAAAAAAACATGCTACCTCTTGTGAAACCATTCCTGGCCTGTTTCCAAATAGGTTTAGTTACTGCCCACCCCCAGCCTTCTTACAACATGGTCACTATTTCTATCACTGTCTTTCTAGACAATGAGTTCATTTTAAAAATCTCATTATTTACCTCTGTCTACAAAGTCCATTGGATGCCTGGCACATATTGGGTGTTTGGGTTTGCTTAATAAGCAAATGCTCCTAACAGTATGTTAACAGCGTGGGGCTACAAAGTCATGCCCCATTCCCCTCATGCCTTTGTCTTGAGTCCTCCCAGTCTCAAGATTCTGTCTCTCCCCCATCAGATCTATGTCTGCCTCCAAAATGTGCCTATCCTCCTTTTTTGGGAAGGAGTTTCCCTTGGACATTCACTAGTGTCTGTGTGACAGAGGGACTTTGGTTTGTCCCAAACATGCTCCTTCTTTGTGGCAATCCTTCATTCAAGGATCCTGGGGTATCCTTCTTTATTCCCTTTCTGAGTTCATACATGCTGATCTCTAGGCTCTGCAAGGACACTGTTATGGCCAACACATAGTAGGTGCTCATTAAAGCCATGTTAAGTGAATACATGAATGGTCCCTTCTCTACTGGGGTGTGATGGAATGCTCAGTAGACTTGGAATCAGAAGACAAAGATGCTGCTACTCGGGCCGTGGCTGTGGGCAAGCCATTTCATCTTTGAGCTTTTGCTTTCTTGCCTTTAAATTGGGGATAATGCCTGTACTTCACAAGGATGCAAAGGATGAATGGAGATGAAAGGGCCTAAAACACAACCAACCACAAAGCTCATGAGCATTTCATTCATTCTCAGCCTCCTCCATCAAGTGTAGAGGGTTCATCTCCACGGTCATCCTCCTCCTGCTCTTTTAAGTCAGGTATCTGGGCCAAAATGACTTCTGCCCAGGGTCCCTTGTAGCATCCAGGAGCAGCATGATGTGGAAGCAAGCCAGCTTTGAATTCTGACAGTCACTTCCAAGCTGTAGGAATTTGGACCTGTCTGCCTACCTGTAAAAGGAATGTAACAGCACCTACCTCATAGAGTTGCTGTGAAGATTAAATGAGATGTATGTCAAGTGAATTAGATGACACTCAAAATTTGGTAACCATTATGACTTTCCCCTGATGAACCTGGGTGCCCCTGAAAACCACACAGGTAATCATGCTGCCCTCTTGTGGACAAGAGGGCACATAGCCCAGCAAAGGCACCCGCAAAGGGTTCCAGTGAGAGAAATCAAACCACACATAAGGAACTTCTCTCCTCTACTAGGGAGCTCATGAATTACCCTGAAATATTTCATCATCAACTAAATCAGACATTTTCAGGCACTGATGCACTTGTTAAAATGCAGATGAGTTCTGATTCAATAGGTCTGAGATGGGGACACAGTTCTCTAACAAGCTTCCAGGAGATACTGAGGCTACTGGCCCACAGACTGCCCTGAATAAAGTTCCTAACTATAATAATGTAACAGTGTCATAACAGGAACTACTTATTAAGTGTCTACCATGTGCCAGTTACTGAGAAAGCCAGTTAACCTAGTTTAACTTGTATAATCCTCAAGACTCTGTGGGGTAGATACTGTTTATCTCCATTTTTCAGATGAGTAAACTACAGCACAGAGAGAGTTTGTTGCCACACCACACAGCGTAAGGGGTGGGCCTTGGGTTCTAATTTAGCCACCCTGGCCCCAGAGCCTACTAGGAAGGCGCCTCTGACAATGTGTGGCGGGCCACCTGGGGAGGAGGAGGGCAGCAAAGGCACTGAAGTGATCGAGGTGAGATGAGGAGGCCTGAGCTAGGACACTGACTATGGGATGGAAAAGAGGGGACACGGAAAAGAGAATGAACAGGATTTGGTGGGCGACCTGAGGCAGGTGTAAGAGAAGGCATTCACTGTGGGTATCTGGTTTGGACAACTGGAGAGACGGTGGTACCTATCACTTACTGAGCCAGGAAACACTGGCGGAAGAACAAGTTTCATGGGGAGCAAGTTTCAGGGGGAAGGTGGATTCAGCTTTAGAAATAGTCAATATGAAGTGGCTTTTGATCATCTGGGAGAGACAGGAGGAGGTACCTGGGCCTAACTGTTCAGAGTTCAGGAAATGATTTGGGTTGTGGATAAAGTTTCACATAAGTGAAGCTATGGTGACTGAGATCATGTGGATAGCGCACAGATTGCCCTGCTCTGGACCAAAGTCGACACAGTCAATAATGAGGAGAGATGGGACTGGAATTCCATCCTGGCTGCAGAGGAGGGTGGCTCTGACCATCCCACTGGGCATTCTGGATCTGGGACAGGCAGAACATATTGAAGGGCTATAGGGAAAGGGGTTTCTGGAGTTCCATAAGTCCGATGAACTGTCCCCTGCCCCCATATCAGCAGAAATAAGGACAATTCAGAGAGAAAGACCAGACCAATAAAGGTTGGGAGATATTTATTTTCTTTAAACAAGGTCATAAATAACAAAAAACGAAGTAGGTCCCAGACTCCGGACCATGCAGCAGGACAGGGGTGAGAAATTGTTGAGTGGAAAGATGGAGGGGGCTACACATCACCTAAGACAGTCACAGAGAAGATGGGCTTCAGGACACTGCTCCTTCCTGCCCTTGGAAATGGCGTGCCTGGGCAATAGGGACAGGCCGCAGTGCTGTCGAGGCAGCTGGAAGAAGGCAAAGACTGGGGATGCCAGGCTGTAACGCTTCTATGTGGAGTGACGTGAAATCCACAAATGGCAAAGAGAAGCTGTAGGTTTGAAGAGGCAAGAGGGCACTGCACACCTCCAGGAACCAGCTATAAACATGGTGAAATTTGATGATTAAAAACAATTCCATAGGCTTTGGCCTGTGGCTTTGTGCATGGGCTGTATTTAACCTGGGTTGCTGTGTGGCAGGTGAGGGCTCAAGAGGCCCCTGGAGCAGCCTGGCCTCAGCCCAGGGCAGGTGCCCAGACATGTGGAGTGGGACAGTGGGCTCTCCCAGATGGGAGGCCATGTGCTTGGACTGGCTGGACCTGATTTTCAGGCTGGTTTCTTGTGATGCTACCCACCACCACCCCTCCCGGTGCCTAAGGATGGGATTTTGGCCTCTCTGGGTCTTCCAAACCTGGAAGAGTATGACTAGGATAAACTGGTACCTGACTAGTGTTTTATTTGAAAGGGAAAAATAAGGACCACCCCATACATTGTCCATCACATGAGGCAGGGTTGGACCATGCCAAGACAATCTCAAGGAATGGAGGTCCCTGAGCCTGGGAAGACATTTGGACTCAGGTGTATCGCCTGACGCTAGGAAGAGGGGCTCAGTATGGCAAATCTGGAGGCTTTACCCTAGGCAACGCAGGGAGAGCAGGCAGGAGATACCCCAGTACAGGGAAGGGAAAGGAGCAGGGGAGCCTTGGACTGGGGAAGCCAAAGTTGGTCAAGGACCCTGGAAAACAATGCTTTTGGCAGAATACATGAAAAGGTTGGTACATCTCGGGGTGCCCGTCTACAGGGAGCCAGTGTCACATGGCCAGGCGGGACGGGGAGGAGGAGACAGTGGCATCACAGTGGCCTCTGGTGCGACGTATTTACAACAGAGCTCGATGTTGAGGAGGGGCGGACAGCAGGTCACTAACAGCCAGGAAACACGCTATGGAAGAACAGAAAGAGAAAGAAAAACAAATGTAACTATCAATAGCTTTCCCTTGCTTATCTGTGTCCTCCAGGAAGCCCGGCCTAATGACCACCAAAGCAAATCTGACCCATCTCATAGCCCTGACCAAAGCCGGACCCAGGGTCTGCTCTCAGTGTGCTGCTCATTTGTCCAAGGCTCCAAATGGTCGAAGGGCCCCAGACAAACACTGTTCAGTAGAGAAATTAGGTCTTTATTGTTGGTTCCTGGGATCCATCAATGGTCAGTTGTTAGAGGGATGGCTCAGCACAGGGGTGTCGGTTCTGTGGTTTACTGTCCCAGGGTCTCGCCATCATCTCCAGTGCTTACCCTGCCCTGTTACTCTCATCTCCCAGGCCCTGGAATTCAGAGTTCTCTAAGGCAGAAGTCATTTCCTTTTCTTAATATTTCTTCTTCAAACTTGCTGAGAGTGGGGAACAAGTTCCCCCGAACCCTCACCAAAATCAGAGAAGAGACTTTTCAATGGTAGGAATGACCCCTCAACAGGGTTGTGGGCTCTCTGAGGATCAAAAGCCTTCTGCAGTACAGACTAGGCGCTGCCTGAGCTGGGTCAAGACCACCTGGTTTGGGGTCAACATGCCTCTCTTCTTCTTCCTCAACAGAGCCCAACTGTGTTTCCTTAAACAGATGAAGAGCTTCCTAGGATGAGAGGCCTGGCCCTGTTTCTTCCTCTAGACCAATAGAGGGGGAAACTTTGCCTCCCTTGAGGCATTTGGTAAAATCTGGAGACATTTCTGTCTGTCAGAACTGTGTGTGGGAGGGGTACTACTGTTATCGGGTGGATAAAAGCCAGGGATACTGCTAAACATCCCACAACGCACAGGACAGCCCCCACAATGAAGAATTATCCACTTCAAAATGTCAAGAGCGCTGAGGTTGAAAACCCTGCTCTAGAGCTTCCAGGATCACCTCTGCAGAGTGGCTAATATTCTGCCAGCTTCGGAAAGGGAGGGGAAGCAAGCATGGCAGAGCACCCATTCCATTCCCAGCTTGCTTAGTAGCTGGCCATGGGAAGACACTCTGCAACACTGTAGAAAACCCTGCTCTAGGCCAGGCGCGGTGGCTTGTGCCTATAATCCTAACACTTTCAGAGGCCGATGTGGGTGGATCACTTGAGGCTAGGAGTTCAAGATCAGCCTGGCCAACATGGAGAAACCCCATCTTTACTAAAAAAAAAAAACCAAAAACCAAAAAACAAACAAAACAAAAATTAGCTGGGCATGGTGGCACATGCCTGTGATCCCAGCTACTTGCGAGGCTGAGGCACTAGGATCACTTCAGCCCAGGTGGCGGAGGTTGCAGTGAGCCAAGACTGTACCAAGGAAACAAAAAAAAAAAAAAAAAAAGAAAGAAAGAAGAAAGCCCTGCTCCATGGCCTGCCCAGCTTTCCCTGGCAGCAGGGCAGGAGAAGCCAAAGAAAACTTCTCTAGGAGCCTGGAAATGGACTGATTCCTATCCCAGCCTCCTCAAAGGGGCACCTCAAGAAGAAATGCACATCACAGTGGGGAGTGAGACTAGGCACAATTTAATCACAGCCTCAGCATCAACCCACTGGAGCACAGCACAAAGAAACAACCCACCATGGCTTGGTAGAAACAGACATGCCAGGCTCTTCACTGAGGAAGAGGAAGAAAGGCATGGTGACCAAACCAGGCAGGGGTAAGGCAGAGGTATTTATAGTCCTGCAAATATCTGTTTGTCAGAGTTGGCCAGCACTGCTGGGGTTCTTAAACCCTTGTACCCGCCTTACCACTGGAATCCACCGATGGGTTCTGCAAACCTGTGCCGGATCAGGAAAGTGGCAACAGCTTCAGCTACCTGGAAAAGGGAGAGATATTCCAGGCCATATGACGGTTACTGATGGGGCTTAGCCTTGGGCTGTGGGCTACTGTTAGACGGTTAGGCTCTACAGTGCCCTCATCCCACCCACAGGTCTGAGCGGCTTGAAATTAAAAGGACCTAGGCCCTCCCTAGCAGAGCTAGGAGACTCTTCCCCACCATCCTTGCCAGGGATAGCTCCAAAGAGCTCAAGAGGAATGACGTGAAGGGCTTATTTGTGCCCTTAGAGTTACAAAACAGTGTTTTCCCACAGGAGGAGTCCATATTAATTCCTAACCTTGCCTGTGGTTTAGGGAGCAGTTTCTACCCTAATCATCCCTCTTCCATCTGGCTTTTGGGGGTACTGGAGAAGTAGAGCTGAAGATCTTAACCACAGGGCCCTGGGATGAAATAGCAGGGTGTCAGTAGCTCCTCAGCACATATACACAAAGCCAATACCATAAGCAGCTGCCAGGGAGAAGTTGGAGAGCTGGTGGAATTGCATCTGCATAGGCTCCACAGCAGCTGCTGCAGGCAATGCAGGCTGAGACTCAGAGACTTGTCTTCTGTGACATCCAGGGTTATTCTCACAGTTGTCCTTTTACAGTCATTGAACACCAGACTCACCTTGTCAGGGGCATCCTCATGGACTGCATGGCCACACTGAGGTAGGACCTGCATCTGGAACTTCCCTGGAGGGGAATCAAAGCAAGGCAACTTCAGGGACTAAAAGAGCCCTGTCTTATGCAGCCTCATAGGTCACTCCGGGAGCCCAGGACCTACTTCCCCATTTCCAACCTCACCTCAACACTCTGGACCCAATTATCAAGTCTTGCTGAGGATGGTAATACAAGTAATTATAGCCTTGTGCCAATCATTTCCCTTCACTTTTTCCTTCTGTCCTATTTAGTGTACATTTACTCTGGGCCAGAGACACATAGAAGAAACAGTTCTTGTCCTCAGGGGATTTACAATCCAGTAGGGGAGTAAAACACAACAACCAACATTTTAATGCAGCATGTCATTCCTATGATGAAACTGGGCACGTGGGGCTGTAAGAGCATAAGAAAGGGAACTTCACAATCCAAGAGGGACCCAGGAAGGAAAAAAGGCTTGAAATGGCTTGGAATAAAAGAAGCTTGGCATGGTGCTTATGAGAGTGGTTAACAATAAGGCTGGAGAGGTAAGCAGGGGCCAAACCATTAAGGATTTTGTCAGCTATGTTAAGGATTCAAAATGTATTATTACAATAAGTTACCATTTGAGCACTTAAGCATGTGCCAGGCATTGTACTAAGCACCTTCTCATATTGTCTCACAGAACACTGTAAGCTCATAGGTAATGCGACAATGATTGAGAATGAACAGCGATGACTGATAAAGAAGATCCCTAAGGAGACCCAGAGCCCCCATAAGTAGAGACAGCAGATTTTCTCAGCCTCAGATTCTCTATTTATAAAATAAAGGAATGGGATTGAAAGTTCTTCTGGTCATTACATCCTGTGGTTCTTACCCCAGTTACATAGGATTCAAAAAGTTTTCAGTGTACTCTTCTATCCATTTTTAAAGTTGATTCTTAAAATCTACTCTATAAAATTATGCACGAAAATACTGAAATTCTTTTTTGAGATGATGAAACTGAGGCCAAAGTTAGTGAAGTGACCTGCCCAAGGCCACTTCGTTAATCAGTGGAGGAATAAGATGATCCCAATTAGTAAAGTCCAGCTTGTGCCCCTCCTCCTGCAGTAAGCTGCCTCTCTCTGGGTGCTCGAGCCTAGTCAACTCTCCCATCTAGCTCCTAAAGTACTGTTGTTAATGCACTTGGATCCAAACACAAAGCAGCACATGGCCCTCTTATAAGTTTCAAGTAAGTTTACATTTTACATGCCACTGGTGCTTGCCTCCCCAGGAGTGTGTTATTTCCGTAAGAACAGGGGACGATGGTGTTATTACTTGCTCTATATCCCTAATAAGAACTAACACAGGGTTGGGCACTGAGTAGATGTTTAAATCTTTAGCGAATGAATGATGAACAAATGCCTAGATCCAAAACTTACAACTCCTATCTCCCTGTTGTTTCTGTTAGATCAGCTCTGATGACTAGGGATGCATTTGTCCTTCCTCTTTGGAAGAGTCGGTATAATCAGGGAGAACTCACATACACCAACAACACTGTGCCAGGTACACATAAAATAACACGCTCATGGGTAATCCTCACAATTATTCTATGATGTGGGAATATTTCCAAGTTCTTCTCTCCCATTGCACAGATTAGGAGCCTTAGGTTCAGAGAGCCTAAATTATTTACCCAAGTTGTACTATGAATAGGTGGTAGTTTTCCAGGATTTCATAACTAAGTCAGCTGGTTTGAACACAGTGCTGGGAAAGCTGTGGTTTGGAATCTATGCAGCCTTAACCATTTCCTTTTGTTTTGTGGAACGTTCCTTATCCTCGCCATTTACTCTATACTCATAGGAGGCTTTCTTTAAACCAGAAGGTGGTCTTGATATAATCTATACTGAGGAAACAGGAGGACATCTCGTAAGGAATCATGATTACTTCCTGAATATAATGAAAGGCATCATTTGTTAACTACCTGCATTTTTTCCATTTAAACTTCATGTAACTGTACTGAGATATATCATTATCTCCATTTTATAGATGAAAAAACTCAAAATTAAAGAAGTTAGGAATTCACTCATACCGCAAAACTATTAACAGTGATTCAAACCCAGGACTGTCTGACTCCAAGGCTGGTGATCAACAATGACTTCAAATGCTATCCCAGTCCATGTCAACTGCCTTCAGGCAGTCTCAGGGGCCATGTCTGATTCTTCTGTCTGCCCAGCATCATGCACAGGTCTTGCACAGAAAGGGTGCCTAGGAAAGGTTTTCTGAATTGAATTTAAGTGTCTTAGATTCAATTTCATGGCACTGATGTTGGTCATTATGGGCTTAGACGTTTATAAGAATCTACTTAAATAAGTGTCTAAGCCCATAATGACCAACATCAGTGCCATGAAAAAAAATCACACAGTCCCAGCTCATGGTCCTGTTCCAGGCCTCAGGATACAATGTAGTTAAAGGAAGGCAAAGCCATGAAGGTCTGGGACCAGAGTTTTATATTCAAGAGGCTTTGAACAACTATTATGAAGGAGTATAGCTCCTTTTGCTGTGGAAAGCTTGAAGATAGCTAAAAGAACAGTTTGAGAGGCCCATGAGACATCCAGCAGTTTTGCTACATGGGCTAGGACTGGACCTCAGGAGAGAGGGATGAGGTGGATGTTTAACTTTGGGAGTCATCAAGGTACAAATGGAAGCCATGAAATTGTCCAGGGAGAGTAAGTAGGGAAGAAAGGTCTAGAACAGATTCTGCCTGAGCCTGAAACTTTGGTCTTGGAGTTGGCACCTCTTCTTCCCATAACCCAAAAGTTGCATGCTTACTGAATTCACCTTCACTGAGTCTTTTACCTGTACTAAAGCAAGAGCCCCCACAAAATTGGACCCGCTGCCTCCACTGTCATCTAGCTAACATACATGCATCTGTACACAGTGCTCAGCATGTCACTTTTCTACTCATTATACCTCATGATCCATTTGAGGCTGCCATCCGTTTTTTCATTTTATAGATTAAGAAGACTAAAGCTGAGGCAAGTCAGAAAACTTGGCCAGAGTCAAAAAATTACTGGAAAAGTAGTATTCAAAATTCAGTTTTCTGAACTTCAGAGACTTTACTTTTACCATCTTACCATGCTGTCTTCTAAACAGGTATTTATACCTTTTTATATCTAGATTATCTTGAGCCTTTCCCTTTCCTAAAAATTCTAACAATAACAAAAATACTGGCCAGCTGCAGTGGCTCACACCTGTAATCCCAGCACTCTGGGAGGCCAAGGCAGGCAGATCACTCGAAGTCAGGAGCTTGAGACCAGCCTGGCCAAAATGGTGAAACTCCATCTCTACTAAAAATACAAAAATTAGCCACGTGTGGTGGTGCATGCCTGTAATCCCACTACTGGGGTGGCTGAGGCAGCAGAACTGCTTGAACCTGGGAGGCAGAAGTTGCAGTGAGCCAAGATTGGGCCACTGCACTCCAGCCTGGGCAACAGAGTAAGACTCCAAAAAAAAAAACCCACAAACAAAAAACTCATCAGAAGTCGGAATATCTCTTTTCACAGTATCATACACCTATACAGTACTTTATAATTTTAAAACACATTGCCTCATTTTAACTCTTATAACTGAAACATAGGTAGTATTACAATCTTCATTTTTGGATGGATTTTTTTTTTAAACAAATTAAAGCTCAGGAAAGGGAAATAACTTGCCCATAATCATATAGTGTGTCAGGAGTAGAGGCAGATGTTCAACTTGGATTGGACTCTAAAGTGCAGGCTTTCTCCGTTATACTTCACTATCTCAGGATGTTAATTGCCCTATCACCCTTTCTTCAGAAAAGGGTCCAGGGGCATAATTTCTTGATAACTTACCTTGCATCTGGCCAATGGTTAGATCTTTATCCAATCTATCAACACCTAGAAAACAAGAGAATTCATTGTGAAATAGATTTTGCTGTTCAAGTACTAAGTAAAAAGTGTTACAAAGTTGTAAACATGATAACATTCTCAATTTATGTTTATACCAATCCTAACTCCCAGAGCATATTCTCACCACCAGATGAAACTTTTCAGGTTGAGATTCCCCTAAAATCACTATGTTAAACTGGTTCTGAAAACAGGGTTTTACTATTTTAATTCTCATAATACTCAGAATATCCTTATACCACTGTATCTAGCTCTAGGCTAAGAAGGACTTGAGCTTGACCAAGTAGACAGGCCAGGCCAGAATTAGGTCATCCTAACGCTTAGATGAATGCCTATGCTAGTTAGGTTTAGAGACTGGGTGTAGGGAGGAGAAAAGGCATAGATGAATGAGGAAGGTATTCTACTTTGGATGTCACTACTTATTTGGTGAGAAGTTTTAATGAGGTCATATTGAGATGACAATATACCAACACTGCTATGGACTGAGTTGTGTCCCCCTAAAACTCATGTTAAAGCCCCAATTCCCAATGTGACTGTATTTGGAACTAGGGCCTATAAGGACGTAACAAAGGTTAAATAAGGTCATGAGGGCAGAGCTCTGACATGATAGGATGAACGTCCCTAATTAACATCCTTAAGAGAAGAGACACCAGAGAGCTCACGTTCACTCTTTCTTGGCCATGTGAGGGCACAGAGAGAAGGCAAGCCAGGAAGAGAGCCCTCACCACAACCTGACCATGCTGGCACCCTGATCTCAGATTTCCAGCCTCCAGAACTGTGAGAAAATAAATTTCTGTTGTTTAAGCCACCCAGTCTATGGTATTTGGTTATGGCAGCCTGAGCTGACTAATACATGCACATATACACTTACCAGCCAAGAGCAGCAATTTAGGAATGGGACAACTAAGAAAGAGATTGGATAAGCCTCGGAACCAGCCATCCCAGTATTTTTCTGTTTTTGCCAGTTCAATTCTCCAGGTGTATGGATGGTCTTTCTTGGTCTGGAGGAATAAGAGCAAGTTCTGAGTCTCCGAGGGCAAGCCCTGGAGGAACAGGATTAAAAACTAGATCCCTGGGAAAAGGAAAGGGAAGGAAACTAGCACTTATTAAGGACCTACTGAGTCCCAGACATTTTCATATACATTCAGTCCTTCTAACAGTCTTGTTGTATGGGCCACTGTAATATTCATTTTAAGATAATTACAAGTTTACTTTTTATTGCTATTAGTTTCTGTAAGTTTAGGAAACTTTCTTAAGATCACAAAGCTAGTAAGTGGTAGTGTCAAGATTAAGCCTTTCTCATACTTGGTTGGCAAAAAGGATGTTTTTCATCAAAATAATAACTACAAAGAACATATTGCAGTATGAAAAATGTTTATAATATAAGCAAGAAACAGATTACAACATGTCATCGAAGTTAGGATTAGTACTGGAAAAATGTGGTATACTTATAGTAAAGTACAAAAAAGGAAAACTGAAAATAAGTTGATTTGTTAGTAGAGTATTTTTTCTTATATTTTATGATAATGATATAATGTTCCTGCAATAGTAATTTTGAAAGGAAATATGAGACAAATATGACAAAATGTCAACATTTATTAAATCTTTATAGTAGATAAGTACAGAGTATGCAATCAAATATTGGCTAAAAAAATAATTCTCTATAGTTTTCTATACCATTGAAATATTTGAAACATTATAATTGAAATAAATATACTGAATCAACCACAATATGAAAATCTAAAAGCGAACACAAGATAGTAACATATTACGTTAAAGATCACTGGATGCTTAAGATGTCCATACTACCCAACGTAATCTACAGATTCAACATAATCTCTATCAAAATTCCAATGGCCTTTTTTTTAGGAAATAGAAACAAATCATCTTAAAATTCATATGGAATCTCATGAGACACTGACTAGCGAAAAGAATTCTGAAGAAGAACAAAATTGGAGAACTCATACTCCCCAAGTACAAAGCTGCAGTAATTGAAACAACTTGGTACTGGCATAAAGACAAACAGACCAGTGGAACAGAATACAGAGCCCAAAAATAAACCTTCACATAAATGGTCAGATGATTTTTGACAAGAGTGCCAAGACCACTCAGTGAGGAAAGAATAGTCTCTTCAACAAACAGTACTGGGATAACCAAACAGATATGCATATTCCAAAGAATGAAGCTGGGGCCTTATTCCCCAGCTTCATTAAAGACCTAGTAAGACTAAGATTAAAGACCTAGTAAGTCTAGTAAGACTAAGACATAAAACTCCTAGAAGAAAACATGGAGGAAAAGCTGGACACTAGACTTGGCAATGATTTCTCAGATATGACACCAAAAAGCAGTGAACAAAGGCAAAAATAGACAAATGGTACTATGTGTATGGAATGGGAGAAAATCTTTGCAAATCATATATCTCATAATGGATTAATATTCAGAATATATAAAGGACGCCTACAATTCAGCAACTAAAAACATCGAGTAACCTGATTAAAAAATGGTCAAAGGGCTTGAATAGACATTTCTCTAGAGGTGATACAGAAGTGGCCAATAAGCATATGAAACGATGCTTAACATTACTAATCAATAAATAAATGCACATCAACACCACAATGAGAAACCATCTCACCCCCATTAAGATGACTACTATCAAAAAAGAGAAAAATAAGTGTTGGTGAGGATGCAGAGAATTTGGAACCCTTGTGTACTGAGTTGTAAAATGGTTCAACCAATAGGAAAAACATTAAGGCAGTTCCTCAAAATATTAAAAATAGAACTACTACATGATGCAGGAATCCCACTTCTGGGTACATATCCAAAGAATTGAAAACAGAATCTCAAAGAGGTATCTGCAAACCCATGTTCATAGCAGCACTACGGATAACAGCCAAGAGGTGGAAGCCACTCAAATGGCCACTGATGGACGAATGAATAAACGAAATGTGGTATATACATATATAAGTCAGTTCAGAAAAAGGAAGAAATGCTATCACAAGCCGCATAGGGACTGAACTTTGAGGACATTATGCAAAGTGACATAAGCCAGTCACAAAAAGACATATATGATCCCACTTATATGAGGTATCTAAAATAGTCAAATTCATAGAAACAGAAAGTAGAATGGTGGTAACCGGGGCCTTTGGAAGAGTTTTGGAAAAGGGGAGTTGTTGTTTATATCTCAGATGTTTCACAACAATGTGAATATTAACTGTACACTGAAAAATTACCGAGATGGCAAATTTTATGTTTTTTTAATGGATGGAAGGAAGGAAGGAAAGAAAGATGGCCAAATGGGAAATCAAGAAACTTGAGTCTTCTAGTCCTATCTTTGCCACTGATTTTCTCAGGTCCCTTCCCTTCTTTGGGCCTTGGTCTTCTGTCAATAAAGGAGACATAAAGGTACCTTATGATTCAAATATTCTCACTAAAGAACTAATTCTATTCTCCACTGTTAATATTTACCAGGGGTAGGACACTTTAAAGGAAATACTGCCATTTCAGCCTGGAACCTCAGCCTGTCCTATTCCCCACAACACTTTCCTTTAATGAGCCATTTCTAAGAGATCAGCTCTACCGTCAGAGACAAGGCATAATCTCACAAGCCCCTCCTATATACACACTGAACTTCACAGGGAAATGACAAATTTAACGTAAGAGAACCTCCAAAAAGTAATATTATAATATATATATATATAAAACAGTTCATCTCAAATCTTAAAATTTGTAAAACCAAAGGAAAAATTCTGGATAGAATTAGGATTTCTCCTGTATTTAGGTTATTGGAAATAAATCCTTTCTCCCAAGAGCTGGATCATAAAGTTTAGTTTAGATGCCTATTGGATGCTGTGAAAATGGTAATAAAGCGGGTTGATATAATGAGATCCACTTGTTGTTGGGTGGGAGAAACAGAAAGTTGGCTAACAATCTTTCTGGGATGTTTACCTGGGCGAGATGCAGTTCTCCACACAAGGGCATCCACCACAGGCCTTGCATTATCTCCCACTGTTTCACTGGAAAAGTGTTTAAAAACATAACGCTTTGTGTCAGTCAGATCTGACTGAATGCAAGTCCCAAAGCCATCATTAACTAATAACTGTGGGCCCCTTGGGAAGTTACTTAATTTCTTCCAGCCTGGTTTTTCTTTCTTTCTTTCTTTCTTTTTTTTTTTTTGAGACAGAGTCTCACTCTGTTGCCTAGGCTGGAGTGCAGTGGCGCAATCTCGGCTCACTGCAACCTCCGCCTCCTGGGTTCAAGCAATTCTCCTGCCTCAGCCTCCCGAGTAGCTGGGACTACAGGCGCATGCCACCACGCCCAGCTAATTTTTGTATTTTTAGTAGAGACAGGGTTTCACCATGTTGGCCAGGATGGTCTCGATATCCTGACCTCGTGATCCACCCGCCTCGGCCTCCCAAAGTTCTGGGATTACAGGCATGAGCTACTGTGCCCAGTTCCAGCCTGTTTTCTTAGCTGTGAAATTGGCAGCACAAGATCTGAAAGAATTGTAAGGATGAGCTAAAGATACCCATGTATGTGAGACAACAGGAGTGTGGTCTGGCACATAAACAAGTATTAAAATTTTTTTAAAATACATAGGATGTCAGTAACCTTGAAAAAGAAGAACAAAGTTGGAGGACTTACACACTGTCTGATTTCAAGACATACAACAAAGCTACAATAACAAAGACAGTGTGGTACTTGCATAAGGGCAGACATATAGATCAATAGAATTAAGAGTCCAGAAATAAAATCTAACATTTATAGTCAACTGATTTTCAGCAAAGGTGCCAAGATAATTAAATGGGGAAAAAGGAGCCTTTTCAATAAATGGACCTGGGACAGACTATTTATTGGATATCTACATGCAAAAGAATGAAGTTGGTTTCATTCCTGGTATTATATACAAATATTGACTCAAAATGGCCTAAATGTAAGAGCTAAAGAAAATTCTTAGAAGAAAACATAGGTATAAATCTTCATGACTTTCAGGCAAAGCCTTCCTAGATATAATACCAAAAGTACAAGGGACAAAAGGAAAAACAGATAAATTGAATTTCATCAAATTAAAACTGTCTGTACTTCTAAGAATGCCATCAAGAAAGTAAAAAGACAACCCACTGAATGGGAGAAAGTATTTGCAATTTAGGGATCTGTATCTAGAATATATATAGAACTCTTAAAATTCAGTAATAAAATCAAATAACCCAAGTAAAAAATGGGCAAAGTATCTGAAAAAACATTTCTCCAAAGAAAATACATAAGTGGACAATAAGCTCATGAAAAGAAACTCAATATCAAGAGTCATTAGGAAAATGAAAATCAAAACCACAATCAGATACTACTTAATACACATTAGGATGGCCATAATCACAAAGAGAGAAAATAACAAGTGTTGACAAGGATACTGATAAACTGGAACACTCATACACTGCTAGTGGGAATGTAAAAGGGTGCACCCGCTTTGGAAAACGGTCTGTCAGTTCCTCAAAAGGTTAAATATACTTACCATATGATCCATCAGTTCCAATCCTAGCTGTGTACCCAAGACAAATAATAAAAGCCTATATCCACACAAAAAGTTACACACAAATGTTCAAAGAAGTATTATTCATAATAGACAAAAATTGGAAACAACCCAAATGTCCATCAAGCGATGAATGGATTAAAAACTGTGGTATAGCCATACAATGGCACATTATTCAACCATATAGAGAAATGAGGTATTTGATACGTGCTACAATATGGATGAACCCTGGTAATTTTATTCTAAGGGAAAAGAAGTCAGTCACAAAAGACCACATATTATTAGTTCCATTTATATTTTATGTCCAGATTAGGCAAATCTATAGAGATTAGATTAGTGGTTGCCAAGGCTGGGAGGGTTGGGGAGAAATAGGGAGTGAATACTCATGGACACTCCTAATTAATGTGCCTCAGTTCACCCTCTCAACAGAACTGCTGGAGTTTATGAAACCACATAATTGGGCTTATAAAAAAATACAAAGAAAAAATGAGTTAGAATTAAAAATCGAGGATCTGGGTGTGTTTTAGCTTTAACTTTTATGTGTGACCATGGGCAAGTATCTGTACCTAAGTTGTAAAATGGTGATAATATCTACAATGCAGAACTAAAATGAGAATTAGAGATGATAAATGTGAAGCATTCAGCATAGTGCTTAGCACATAATGAGTAAAAAGCAATTAATTATATTAAGAGTCTCAAATCTACTAAATGCGTGCTTGATGACCTTGGGCAAATCTCTTAACTTCTGAGCCTCAGATTCTACACCGTAATATGGGAGAAAAGATCTCTCCACACCTCATAAGATGTTGAGAGGACCAAATAGACCATGCGTTATTTATACCTTTGTAAACTCTAAAGAGGTACAAAGTATTATATTTCTGATCACTGATTTTAAAGATGGCAAGAAGATCCTCAAATTTAAAATCCTGTTTAAAAATATATTCTCCTTCTTGCTAACAGCAGCATCTCCAAACGCAAAGAAGTAGGTCATTACATGTTCATTACCTGCCATTAGTAAGATGTTTATAATCAAATCCATCCCTAGTCTGCTGTTCATGATCACTAAACATTTTCAAGAAAAAAGCACTTGTTACCACTACTTGCCTAGCAAGTACTTATAAAACACTATTTATACAACCCTGAGCTAAATGCAGAGGGAAATTCATGCAGAACATCAGTTTCTGCCACAAAATACACATTTTTTGTTTGTTTGGAATACAATTCTTGCACAGAGGACAACCTGAGTCAACAGATGACTAGCAAAGGACCATAGGATTTCTGAGTGTGACTTATAAAATCAGTTCTATGACTTAATATGTACAACTTCAAAAAAAAAAAGTGCTAAGGTGTGTCATATAGACTTTCAGTGCTGTGTTGGAAAGAGAGTGATATCAATTAAGGTCAGAAAGCTTCCCCAAGGAAGCTGGGTGTGGTGGCATGCACCTGTAGTCCCAGCTACCGATACTGGGGAGGCTGAGCTGGGATGATCACGTGAGCCAAGGAATTCAGCCTGGGCAACACAGCAAAACCCAGTTTCAAACGAACAAACAGACAAAAAAAAAAAGAAAGAAAATGAAAGAAAGCTTCCTCAAGGAGATAAACTTTGAAAGACAGATGGACAGGGTAAGATCTGAATGAGCTTAGAACAGACTAGTAGGAAATGGAATTCTTCTCATGGGAGGAAACACAGGAACAGAAGAACAGGTGAGAAAGCAGTCTGTTTTAGGGGACGGTAAACAGTGTAAGTTTTATGTTCCAATTGGTCAGAGCTATCAACAGCGCTTTACATCTTATAGTTAAGCTAAGTATCTCTTATGATAGTGTCTTTGTGCCCTAAAATACCTGATGGCAAACAAAAAGAACAATGTTATCAGCGCTTCCCCACCCACACACAGTTTGAACCATTCCATACTACATCTTTTCAAGAATCAATGTTTTAACCCACCTCCATGTCATCTTCCTTTTTCCTCTTGCTTATTGACTCACTTCCTTCCTCATCTTCTTCTTCTTCCTCTATGATTCCTTCCACTATAGATTTTGAGCCTTCTGGACTTGTAATTCCTTCACACCTAGGTTTTTTTTTAAAAAAGTACTATTACACACCTCTTTCCAATACAGAAATTATCTCAGAGATACTCATGGCCTTTTAAAATCAAATGTTAGATAAAACTTAACAATTATCCTGGTAGGAGGATAGAATTGTGCATTTCCAGGGCTGTGGAAATCATGGCCAATGTATAACTATACTCCAAGGGCTGGTTTCCACTTCTTACACCAATACTGACCCATAGAAAGGAAACAACCATTTCCTCAGGCATGAGTTTTATTGGCATAATCTTACATAATCTTCATAACAATCCTATGAAGTAGCCCTCAAGAGTTAAGAAAATTGTCTAGTATCACCTAACTCATAAGCGGATAAGGCTGGGATGCAAATCCAGGCTCAACTAACTCCAAAACATGGTGCTTTTCTGCTGAACCCTGCTTACAGTAGAACAAGGCTCAAACAGAATGATAAAAGGCCTCACTTTTTAATTAGTTGACAGAAACCATCTGAACCAACCAATTATTGTTTTTCTCTTTCAAATGGCATCTCTAGAACAAGCAAGATAAAAAGAGACTGGGATAAATTCAAAGGTCAGCGGTAGATTTTTAAGAATGATAACTTCTCCCTCTCTGTCTTCTCTGCCAAACCTTCAGTGAAGTGTACGTTCATAAATGTTTTGTTAAGTAGGAGTTTTATATGAAACTTGAGGTGCCAAGCTTCACATGTAGTATACAGTATAGATGTGATTTAAAAAATAGTGTAACAAAGAAACATATGCTTTGAATTTCTATAGCCTGTGGATCAGGAGGTTCAAGGCAATTTCACCTAGATCATAAGGGGCAGGAAAGTTCCAGCTATCTATGTGACAATTAACACACGTGCACATACACACTCTCCTACACATAGGTTTACTTATTAAGAGAAAACATCACTGGAAATAAAATTTTAAAATCACTCAACTATCTGCATATATGCCATGGAAAATGCTTTACTACTGATTAGACAAATTTGAGGTCTCAAAATATTTAGGAATTGAAAAGTGGGCAGTCTCACAGCTTATTCAAAGTCTTGCATTTAGACTACCTGGTATTTCTACTGAAATTGCCCTTTTAGGCATAAAACCCGTAATATAGGCCTTGAAGTCAAATACACAGGAGTTTGAATCTCAGCTATGTCATCCACGAGCTATGTGATCTTGGGAAACTACCTCTCTGAACTTCTATTTCCTCATCTATAAAGCAATACTTATCCTAAAGAGGTATTGTAGGGATTAAATGAGATAGTGCAAATGAATTAATGAATCTAGGTAATAAACATCAACGGCTCCTGACATTAAAAAAAAAGAGAGAGAGACAACCGGCTGGGCGTGGTGGCTCACGTCTGTAATCCCAGCACTTTGGGAGGCCGAGGTGGGCGGATCACAAGGTCAGGAGATAGAGACCATCCTGGCTAACACGGTGAAACCCCGTCTCTACTAAAAATACAAAAAATTAGCTGGGCATGGTGGCACTTGCCTGTAGTCCCAGCTACTCAGGAGGCTGAGGCAGGAGAATTGCTTGAACTCAGGAGGCAAAGGTTGCAGTGAGCTGAGATCGCGCCACTGCACTCTAGCCTGGGCGACCAAGTGAGACTCCGTCTCAAAAAAAAAAGACAATCAGACATTATGTACTTCCTGATGGCAGTACACAACATCACCTATTAAGTATTCTGGCAAACAAAACACCTGATCCCAATGAAGCTTCTAGGTTTAACTATTTATAGAGAATATAAGGAACAAACAAATATGTTAAATTATGGCCTGAGAATTCAATCAGCAAATCCAGATCACGGGAAATTCTATGGGGCAAACAGGAAGGTTTCCTCAAGAAATAAATTGCAAGGAATCAAAAAAGAAAGCGAGATACAAGTGGAACCTTAGATTAAAAGATGCATGAGAGGTGTATCAACCAATTGCTATCTACTTATTTTGATTTTGACTTTAACCATAAAAAATTATTTATGAGACAATCAGAAATGTGAATATTGATTAGATATTTGATGATATTAAAGAACTGCCAATTTTTTAGGTGTAATAATGTCATTGTGATGATGTTTAGAGAGTCCTTATTTTTAGATCATATGAAAATCTTGCAGAGGAAATTATATTTGTTTGGAATTTGCTTCAAAATATTTTGTGACTGGGGAAATACATAGGGGCACAGATGAAACAAATGAGACATAGTTACGGGTTAATAACCATTGAAAATGGACAATGGGCACACTAGGGTCCATCCACTATATTACTCTTCTTTTATATGTGTGAAAATTTTCCAAAATATAAGGTTTTAAAAATGAGACAGTGCATATAAAATACCTTGCAGAGTGCCTGGCAAATAGTAAACACTCAATGCTGTCATCATTTTCATCTAACTCCTGTCTGTTCTGTTGGGCAACATTTTCTCAATTCATCAAACTTTAAGTTTATTTTGTGACTATACAGCAATATCCAGAATACCATGTAATTCCATCAGGAAAGATCAATTGGGCTAAATAATCTTAGCTCATTCTTAGAATCTGGCTTTCACTCAGGCTATGCCAGAGCTTTTTTATTATAATTCCCTCACCGCCAGGTTTGGCTTAGAAGGAGACGGTTACTAGAATGAAACTCAGCTGCCATCACTAAGGTGAACATAATTTTTCATGTCTATGCTCTGGGATTCTTTGCTTTTTAACACATACAGTTTTGCTAAGGTAATCCAGTATTAAATAGAGGAGGAAAGAAAAGAAAGGGAAGGAAAGGAAAGGAAGGAGAGAAAGGAAGGAAAGCAAAAGAAAATCTGTAATTCCCTCACCATGTTTCTGCCTCTAATCAGACCAAGGGGGAAAAGTAAGACCTACTGTTTGACTTGGCCAACCATTGAGACACGGGCAGACTCCAGATTTCGAATCTGGCCACTCTTCACACTGGGAAAGAAAAGAATGAAGAGAGAAGGGTATTCAGTATCAATTGAATCAAATCATTGGAATCAAATAAATAATTCCACAGATTATGTGAGACCTAGTAAAAAGTAGTGATCACCAGTGTTTCTTACTATAGAGATTGCCACTACTACTCACCTGGCTATATGGTTATAAGCTAGGTAGTAAAAATTAAGTAAAAACACCATAGCCATTTCAGTTCTGCAGCTATTTATCAAGAGGATACTATGTGCCAGGCCTATATTCAAGAAGCACATAATTCAGTAGGGAGAAAAAGACACACATAATGTTAATATAACAAGGCAAGGTTCAAAGAAGGCACTTTATCATGAATGAGGAGGTCAGAGAAAGCTCCCCAAAGGTCACAGCTAAACTGAGGAGCATAGACAACAAGTTTAACCAGAAAATAAAAGAGGTTGGTTGGAGCATTCTAGGCAGAGGGCACATTGTGAGCAAAGGTGCTATGATGTGAAAGTCGGCAAGATAATGATTTTAGAAGACTGGTTGCAAGCAGAAGCAGGGAGGAGGCAAAGGGGGAGCGTGGCAGAATAGGATTGGTAGGCAGGCACCAGCTTCTCCAGGGCCTTGTGTGCTGTGCTACAGAGTTTAGGCTATCTGAATAAATTAGGCTTCTCACATTTGTCCACCTAAGTACAACTAAGGGCAAAGCAAAATGACTGCATTCCCAGGGGGAACTGGAAACACTGCCTGAAGCAAGCCACCAGGAGAAAGTGTTTCTTTAAATCTCATTTCTTAGTTTAAAAAATCATTCAAAATTTTAAAGCCCCCCTCCTCAGATAATGACATTATTTCTTACTTTAATGGTAAACTGAGGCAATCAGAACTATTACCTCGTCTTTTAACTACCAACTGAATAAACAGATTCACCAATAATAATATACTCTGCCTTGATGCCTGTTTAATACATGAAATATCTCTATTCCAATGAAGGCCAACCTTGGGCACTAGTTCCCATCCCCTCTTGCCTCTGAAAAGATACTGTTTCCTTCAGTTATCCTGTCTCTCTTTTGTGTCACTTTTTTTCTCTTGTGGATATCACAACCATACTCTACTATCCAGCCTTTAAAAACATTCCCAATGCCACATTCACTACTACCTATTAATCCATTTCTCTGCTCTCCTACATAGCAAAGCTCCTCAAAAGAGTTATCTTGCTTTCTCTACTTTGTCACCTCTCATCCTTTCCCCAACTTATATCTGATTTTTATCTCCCATTTATTTTCAGATATTTATTTTGTCAAGGTCACTTCTATCATGCCAATTCCAACAGTCATTTCTTGGTCCTCATCTTACTTAATCTCTCTGCAGCATCTGACACAGTTGTTCTCTCCCTCCTTCTACAAACACTTGCTATACTCACCTGGTTTTCCTTTTACCTCATCAACTGTGCCTCTTCAGTTTCTTTGTTGGATCTTCCTCTTCCTCCCAAGCTCTAAATATTGTGGAATATCCCAAGACTCAGTCTGGGATCTTTTTCCTATCAATATCAAGTTCCTAGGTCTTCACATTCAATCTTTCACCTTTAAATATTAACTATGTGATGACGATTCTCCAATTTATCTCTAGTTCAGCCTCTTCTAATCTTCTAACTAGTATATACAATTGCCTACTTAACATTTCCACTTACATATGTAATAAGCATTTGAGTTTATCCAAACAAAACTGATTATCTGCCCCTTATTTGCTCCCATATCTACTTCTTTCTGTTTCTACCATTCATCCAATTGCTTGGGCTAAAAACCTAGAAGTCATCCTTAAGTCCCTTCCTGCCCTCCCCCGTCTCTCTCCCAACAGCCAATCCATAAACCAGTCCTGTCAGCTTTACCTTGAAAATACATTAAAAAATGACTCTTTCTTCCTCTGTTGCCATCCTAGTCTATGTTTACCATTCTTACTCTCCTATACTACAACAGTCTCCTAACCAACTTCATACCTTATTCCCCACTTCTTCTATTCGATTTTCCTCAGAACAGCCAGAGTGGTGTAACCAAGATGCAAATTTGTATCTGTCTGACCTCAAAGCCCAGGTTTCCCCTAACTTTTTTGTTTTGTTTCAAAACAAGGTCTCACTTTGTTGTTAAAGCTAAAGTGCAGTACCATCATCATAGCTCACTGTAACCTTGAACTTCTGGGCTCAAATAATACTCCCACCTCAGCCTCCTGAGTAGCTGGGACTACAGGCACATGCCACCACACCCGGCTAATTAAAAAAAAAATTTTTTTTTTTTTTTTTTTTTTTTTGTAGAGACAGGGTCTCACTATATGGCCCAGGCTGGTCTCAAACTCCTGGCCTCAAGTGATATTCCTATCTCAACCTCCAAAAGCACTGGGAGTACAGGTGTGAGCCACCACATCTGGCCTAAAGCCCAGGTTCTTAATGACTATACCCCTGCTGCCTCTCATTAGGAAACCTATGAGAGCAAAAGCAGTAATTAACTGGCTTTATATCGCAACATAAAAAAAATCTGGAATAGCCAAAATGGCCATCGGTCATAAACCTGATTCAGATATCCAGCAGAATAAAAAACAAAATTACCAAATACCTCATAGTATAACAATTTTCAGGTTCAGAAAAATCAATGACTCTCATGAAACCCAGTATCTTAACATTTAACAAACAGAACCCTTATGCTATCCTATATCTGGCAAAAGAAACAAGACTCTACCTTAAGAGAAGGCCTACCATGATACCCAGGCTGCATGAGGTACCCTTCTTCTATATCCCCTGGCTTCCTTCGTTGTGTTGTGTTTATCCATCTCCTTGTTTGCATCCCCAGTTTTTTGATGATAGGAACTGAGCCTGATTCATCCCCCAGTTCTTAGATCAGGTACTGACACATCTTAGGCACTAGAAAAAAAAATTTACCGAATAAATTTTAAAGTTTGGAAACGGCCAGATGCAGTGGCTCATACCTATAATCCCATGACTTTGAGAGGCCGAGGCAGGCGGGCAGACTGCTTGAGTCCAGGAGTTCAAGACCAGCCTGGCCAACATGATAAAACCCTGTTGCTACAAAAAAAAAAAAAAAACCCAAAAAACAAAAATTAGCTGGGCGTCGTGGTGCACATCTGTAGTCCCAGCTACTTGGGTGGCTGAGGCAGGAGGATCGCTTGAGCCCAGAATGTCAAGGCTGCAGTGAGAGCTGTAGTCACGCCACAGGACGCCAGCCTGGACAACAGAGTGACACCCGGTCTCAAAAAAAAAAAAAAAAAAAAAAAAGTATGGATAAAAGAGAGATGGGCTTTAGACAACTGAGCCAACTCTAGAATAACTTTCTCACTGGTTGTTATTGTGGAAGCAGGCAGGGCACCTGAGGTACAAGCCAAGCTGGCAGCAGCTACATTCTTGATGCTGTCTGCCCAAGATAGAGAGATCTTTGATATTTCCGCAAGAACAGGAATCCTGCATCACAGTAGTGAACAGGAAGTGGTAAAAACAACTTCACCAAACACAAACATCATTCTGACAAGCCATATTCTTGCATAAGACCCTTTGTCCTAGGAAAACTCCTAGGATATATTTACCAAGTCCTAAATTTCCACTTGATATCTGATTCAGTTAACAGATATATTCTGCCTGCTAGGGCAGTCTGCCATATGCTATATGAAAGTAAAAAAGAAATACAGAATAGCTTCTTCCCTTATGATGCAGGAAGGGCATTAAGACAGACATTAATAAAAATTAATATGAGCCATATCCCTCAAGGGAGGATTGGAAAACTTAAGGGTATACAGTGCAATATAATAGAGACTTAAAGGTCTCTAGTAATTTTGCTGAAAGAGTCATCTGGGTGGTTTGGAGAACTTAAGAGAAAATGTTCTGAAGAAGGGACTGGAGATAGACTTAGAAGAATAGGAAGGAAGATAGGATGATGAAGACATTTATCCAAAAACTGATCTCCTTGTGGGAAGGGATAGTGTTTTATTCATCTCTGAATCTTCACCTGTTAGCACAAAATAAGTGTTTAATAAATACTTTATCAAATGATTAACTGAATTAATGAATAAATTCATTCCTTTGCTTAAATGGAATTCTGACACTGATTTTTATAAAAACTACCCATTGAGTTTATTTACCCAAAATCCAAATAAACGTGAGGGAATGGAACCTATAGCCATCTTCCATTTCTCCACCATTTTATCTGAAACACAGCAAGTAAATCTAAAACCATGGAGCGTCAGAGGTGGATGAGGCCTTAGAAACCACCTAGTCTAACCTCTCACCTCAGAGGCAGAAACAGCTAGACCCAGCAGATGATCAATAATTACTAAGATTCCAGGAGGCACTACAGTGTATTGGGAAAAGAATGGGCTTCAGACAACTGAGCCAAATCTAAAATATTTTTAAATATTCAAAAAAATTCTGCTGTTTATATAATGTTTCCTCATATGTTATTACAATAAAGCATGGCAACTGAAATTCTATTCCTCGAACTTGGCGCTTGACCTAAAAAAGAAGAAAAGCTACAATCTAACATTTAGAATAAAGGCAACAGTGGCTGGGCACTGTGGCTCATGCCTGTAACCCCAACACTTTGGGAAGCTAAAGCAGGAGGATTACTTGAGGCCAGGAATTTGATTACTTGATTACTTGAGGCCAGGCTAAAGCAAGAGGATTACTTGAAGCCAGCCTGGGCAACATAGCAAGACCTCGTTTCTACAAAAAATTTAAAAATTAGCCAGGCTTGGTGGTGTGCACCTGTAGTCTTAGCAAATTGGGAGGCTGAGGTGGGAGGATTGCTTGAACCCAGGAGTTCAAGGTTGCAGTGAGCTAGGATCATGCTACTGCACTCCAGCCTGGGTGATAGAGTGAGGCCTTGTCTCCTAAATAAATAAATAAATAAGTAAATAAGCAAGCAAACAAACAAATTAATTAAATAAAGGTGACAAAGATTTGTTGGTTACCTCCATTCAATAGCATTCTCCAGAGACTTGAAGGTTTTAGGACGACCCCGTAAGAAATTCTGCATGCTATTAAGTGCATCCATAGCTGTACCTGTATGTTAAACAAAAACTGTAACCACATATTTAACTTATTCTGAGCATTTACACTCACTGAGTCAATTACTATATATCTGCTCTTGATGACAGCAGAATTTAGTGATGCTTGCAGAGAAATAAACATGGCCCTCAATAATTTTTGCCTCTGGGGTATTCACTCCTTTATGTCATGCCCTCACACTGAAGAGGATGACTTATATTCACAAGCAGCAGTGTGACTTCTGAAGCTCGGTCAGAAAAGACATGGCAGCTTCTTTTTATATGATTAAATACAATTATGGAACATACATAGGATTGAAATAGTATGCAGTCATAAAAATATGTTAATGAAGAGTTTCTGATGACATGGAAAAACGGTTATCTTGTATAAACTTAAAAAGGATGTAAAGACAGAGGGACATATTTCAAGGTGAATGAAATCAACAATAAACTAAGACAAGGTAATAATCTACCATGGATGTCTCTTATTAAGTGAAATCCTGATTTGGTCCGTGCTAAGAAAACTCACCTTCTACAACATCAATCATGCACAGACCCAAGAGGCTTGGTACCAGGTTGGATGATGCTGTGTGGACTGCAATAGCACCACCCATGCTATGTCCAATCAGCATAATTGGAGGAGGAAGGTCCCCATACATGGCTTCAACCACATTGCCAACATCTCTGTAAAGAGAAGAAAAATACATAAGAATGCTTTCGGACAACACTATAAAAACGGTTTTCTTTCCCAGTTCCTTCCTTTGGTGTGTAACAGTTCTGGGAAACTGTAAAAGTCTATTGGGCCATCTTACAAACATACCTATGTAAACCTTCTAACATGCCCCCAGTATCAATATGTGTAGCCACACACCTAGCTCTCCTGATAAATGGCAGGTAAAGGACTAAGAACCCAAATTACTGAATTTTCCTTTACATCACACTTTCACTGTTCCACATATGTAGTACAATTACGTAAACATATACCTTTATTTTGAACCTAAGATTCAAACTCTGGAAAAATCATTTAACTGCTCTGTTTCAATTTTCCCATCTATAAAACAAGAAAAAAAATTTATTAAGCATTATAATGTAGTAAACCTCGAGATCACAAGATGGGCCCCAGCCTCAGTTTATTTTTCACTATGTGATCTTGGATTAGTTACTTAATCTCTCAGAAACTGAGTTTCAACATTTATAAAAAAAGAGAAAAATATCACTGACTGCTCTGGATTGCTTTGAGGATTAACTGAGAGGTGAACAAAAAAACACCTCGAAAGAGTAAAATGCTTCACAAATGTTAATTATTATTTACAATTTCTCATTTGTTTGAAGGATCAACATAAATGTAAGTACAGTGCTCTGAGAAACTAGAAAGGTGTTCAGAGCTCATTTTATTGGCTTTGGTTCTAGTCTTCAATTATGAATGGATCTGTTTGACAAAGACCAATTTTAAAGCTTTGAAAATTAGAACTGAAGTATGAAGTTTGGTTTTTAATTGCATGTAGGCCTTCCTTGCTATAGCAATAGGTGGACAAGAACAGTAAGGTGTGTTTCTGGAGACCCACTGGCTCTACTGCCTTATTATAGATATATATATTTTAGGCTAGTTCTACTCCCTTCTTTTGGGAGTGGCTGGTTCAACTTCAAAAGAAAGTTTTGTCTTGCTGAGCGTCATTACATACCTTAAGCGCACTCACACAGTGTTAACCAAATATAGCAAGTGTCAATGAAGGAACACAGACTTTCATATATAATCTCTACAGTATTCATAATGGCAAAGGCAAATGTTATTAGTTCTGTAGGAATTGATTTTTAAAATCTCATACAACAATTGCAGGAGTGAATAGGGTAGCCTCGGCAATTGTAGACCATCTGAATGGGAGATAGGGAGGCCACCAAACTTTGTAAGTGAAAACAAATGGTTTAATATTCCTTCGGACTTAAATTTAAGATTAAGACAGAAAGTGAAGCAGTTCAGGCAGTCATCCAAAGCGATAACAAATAGTTAAGATGAAAAGTCCAAGCTTCTTTGACACTAGTGCTGCTTCTATACGAACACAAAATTCTCTCCGGGAGACAAAATGATATGAAGGAAAGAAAAGAGAACTAATACTTATTCAGTGCTTCTTTTTCAGTTGTGCTATAAAACTTTCTTATAACATCACCTAATGTAATCCCTCAGCAGCCCTGTCTAGAAGGGTCTGTATTAATCAATTAATCTCACTGGGTCTATAAATATATTATTGCATTTCTACCAAGTAAATATATTATTGCATTTCTACCAAGTAAAAAGAGCTGCATTTTCTTACTACATATTACATATTTTCAATGTTTCAATGGGTTAACCAATTTATGCACTATTGGAACACTAAGCATGTGAGAGTTATTTATATTCTACTGCCCAAGGTCATCACCAAGTTCTGATTGCAAAAATTCAAAAAATTGCAACCTCAGGTATAAATGGTAAAGCCATCTCCCCTTGGCATAGGGTATTGTGAATTCAGAGTAATTTCATGAAGTCAAAACTATAATGCCTTTGCCCAGAGGCCACTGGAAAATATCAGGAACAAAGACTTGATACAAGTGGTCTTGGCCCAGTGCGGTGGCTCAAGCCTGTAATCTCAGCACTTTGGGAGGCCGAGGCGGGTGGATCACAAGGTCAGGAGATCGAGACCATCCTGGCTAACATGGTGAAACCCCGTCTCTACTAAAAATACAAAAAACTAGCCGGGCGTGGTGGCGGGCGCCTGTAGTCCCCGCTACTCGGAGGCTGAGCCAGGAGAATGGCATGAACCCGGGAGGCGGAGCTTGCAGTGAGCCGAGATCGCGCCACTGCACTCCAGCCTGGGCGACACAGCGAGACTCAGTCTCAAAAAAAACAAAAAAAGCAAAAAAAAAGTGGTCTTTAGAGTAAGTAACACAGAGGAAATTATTATACATACAGTTTCTAAAAAATAAAACAGGTAGTATTCCAAAGCTAATTCTGCATATTAAAATAACAGACCAGAAAAAAATTATATCCTCAATTAATCTAAAACAACACTGGATATAATTTTGGGGGCAAACTTTTTTTTTTTTTAAAGAAAAGACTAAAGTTTAAAACATGTTTATATTAAATATCAACATGTAATTTCCAGAATAATTCTTGAACAATTCCAAGAAACTTTCGGTTGCTAACACACAAATAATGAGTAAAATAAAAGGATGCTATGGATGACTATCTAAGTCCAATTCTCCTTAAAATACACATTAACTGAATTGAAGGGGTTCTGCAGTATCCGCCTCATGCACAAAGGTAGAGAGGTCTGAAACACACCAACTGAACATCGTGTCTGAGCTTAGGAAAGGCATATTTACCCAGGTAGAAGGTAGTTACGATTAATCACTTGATCATCTACCACCAAGAAAAATGTATTGTTATTAAAATCAAGCAGAGCATTCAGTCAACAAGTACCTTACTTGAGGTAAGTCCTGAAAATCCAGAGAAATACAATAAAGATGAAGTAGCAAGGGTTACCTACAAATCCAGACTGTAACTGGATGTATCACAATTTTGGTGGATGCTTTTTAAAGGGATTCTGTCATATTTTAATGCTAGGTTACTTTTCTGAGAAGCATTACTGTGTATCACAGAAACTGGAATATCAGAATGACCCAAGCTCAAATTTGGCTTTTTCACATACTTTCTTATGGAGTATTTAGGTTCCGCAGTTGATGGTAAGTATGCCTATTTTGAGATTTTTTTTTTCCACAGAGTAACTGAATTCAGAAATCACATAAATGTTTGACTGCTTGGATAATTTCAGCAAGAATCCAGTTTGTTCGCCCTTTTGATTCTTGGTCATCATCTTCATCTACTGTGGATGATTTTTATTATTAAAAAAATTTTTTGGTGCCAGTTAACAACTTACTACCTCAACTCCAATTCATCCTTCATTGCCTGCTCTACAAAAACAGACGTGAGTGAGGCCTTTAAATATTTTTCCCTTGCCAGTAGGCATGATGTTAAGCTATGTTAATGGAGGGTGCTAGAGAAACACAGAACTTCCCCCAGTATCCAACTCCTGCCAATTCCTGCACAATTCCTCCTGCACAAATGGCTTCTCCAGTACTCTAGCCCTCCCCCACCCAGTGTTTTTGTAGACAAGTGCCTCTGGTGAGATACCTCCCCAAGAATAGCTTTCCCTGTACCTTAGAGGGCAGAATTCTGTCAGGTTCCAAAGGGCAGATTTTCAGCAAGTTCTAACCTTCGGTAAGCCATGGTTGTGCATTCTCCAACAAGGTCTGGATCTCAACCCTGGGTGTACTCCCTCAGCCCAAGGGAGGAGTGGTTGTTCCTTATATCTGCTTTCCTATATTATTAAGAGTTTTCTTTACTTCTTACTACCAATCTCTCATTCCAATCCCCTGTTATTGTGAATAATTATTTATATTCAACTTTACTTATACAATTTACTATGTTGTTTCTCTCTCCTGATGAGCCCTAGACTGAAACATTATTATTTAGTCCATGTTTCCTTAAGGTTCTCAATTAATTCTTCAATTTCCTCTAGAATGTTAACCAAGGCATCATCATCAATTTGTCTGACTGCCTGGACACTCAGATGATGTATTTCACTTTTTTGTTAAAAGTCAAGAAACCCTTTACTTCCTTAAAAATCATTCACAAATCTTCCTAGAGGTATCACTAACAGGCTTGACTGTTTAAGGATATATTGCTCTCATATTAACAAAGGCAGTAGGAATAATTGGGGGAACAGATTCTTACCTCTCTTTTCATAGTTTTTAAGGCATATGTTCATTGAGTGGAATGATACTCATACTATACACATTATTTCTTTCTCTCTCTCTCTGACAAGGACTATAGTTGAATGACCTTAAATTCAATCTACTGACTGTGTGATTTCATACAGCTATTCAACCTATATGAGCCAGTTTCCTCATCTGTAAAAGGATATGTCTGTATTACAGAGTTAATAATGAGGATTAATTTCAATAAATGATTACACAAAATAATGATTATTAATAAATGCTTAGTTTATACTTTAATGAAAGCTGGCTGATAAAAAGTACACAAATAACACCTACTATAATAATAAAACAACTATCTCCAGGTAGACAGTAAAAAAATAATAGTATTAAAATTACTGCTACATCAGTTTGGGCTCTGAAGGAAAAAGTTTATTCTTAAATTAAAGCTGCTAAAGTAAAAGAGGGCAAGATATTTTTGGCCAAAGTGACCAAATACCTGAGAGAGTATGTATTAAAGCAGAATGGCTAGAAGAATCCTATTTATGCTATAGGTCAGTGATTCCCAAACAACAGTCATTGAACTGGCTCCATCAGATTCCTATATAGAGCTTTATCAAAATATAAATGTCCAGACCCCACGGCTAGAAGTAGGTCTGGGGTAGGGTCAAGTCATCTGTATGTCTCGTAACTTCTCAAGTGATTCTGATGAGTGAGCACTTTTGAGAGTCACTGTATATGCTACATTCATTTTTTACTTTAGGCCCAGGGTATAACTGTCATTTTTTTAATATCATGTTCTCATCTTTCTATGACATAAGACGAAGAATATGCACAGGATACCTGAAGGAGAAACTCTCAAGGCCTCTTGCATACAACTACTTTTCCAAGCATAAGTCCATAATAGGTATCCAGATTCAATGCAATTCCATCAACAGAAGAAAACTTTCAAAAGCCTTCACAAACTAAACTGTGCCTTGAAGAATTTTCATGTGCTTTATATGATGATCATTGCATTGGACATACCAAGAAAGATGCAGGTTTCTTTCAAGATTAAATAGTAAGGAGAAACCAAAAGTAGAGGAGAGAGAACAGAAGTAAATGTTCCTTGTGGTAATTATTCTCCAACAATCTCATCAGGAAAGTGATAAAGTTATAGTACTATTTATAATAGTGATGGGAGACAGGCAATGTGTAAGAAATATCTGGTTACTTACTTTGCCATTGTTTCTGCAGACAGATCTTCAGGATTCTTGACTTTTGTTTCACCTAAAATGAAAATAGTTTTAAAATAAAATTCCCACAGACAGGAATTATAAAAGCAGAAGAATTCTCTTTTAAAAATACCATCTTTGGACAATGGATTAAGGACTTTATAATTTTACACAATGAGTTTAGCAAGGATTTTCTACAGACAAATCTTTACAGTTATCCTAAGAAGGATAATTACAGTAGCCTAGCAAAGATTTATCCACATTCCTTATACATCAGCATAAGAATCTGGTTACTTTAAAGGGCATTTTCTTAGCTTAACACATATAAAATACAAAAATAAATACTATAAATAAAACTTTAATATATATACATACACATACATTTGTAAAGACTAGAAGCTACGACTTCCTTCAAAATGCCCAAATCGAGCTGGGCACAGTCGCTCACAACTGCTATGCTAGCACTCTGGGAGGCAGAGGTGAATGAATCACTTGAGGTCAAGAGTTCGATACCAGCCTGGCCAACATGTGAAATCCTGTCGCTACTAAAAATACAAAAATTAGCTGGGCATGGTGGCGCACACCTGTAATCCCAGCTACTAGGGAGACTGAAGCAGGAGAATTGCCTGAACCCAGGAGGCAGAGGTTGCAGTGAGCTGAGATTGTGTCACTGCACTCCAGCCTGGGTGACAGAATGAGACTCCATCTCCAACAAAAAAAAAAAAAAGAAAAGAAAAAAAAAGCCCAAATGGAATAGACAAGGTAATTTTATGGCCATGTTGAAATTTCTAATAGTTACGACTATTCAAAGGGGCTTGATGACTATAATCCAGTAAATGGCTAATTAAGAACTTTACTCACCATGACTTCGCAGATCCAAAGCCACAATCCTACACTGAACTCTACTAATAATCGCTGCCTAGGAGAAAAAGGAAAAGGAAAAGTAGTTAAGACACATCTAGGATAACAAATTTTGCCCAATTCCCAATGATAACTTTGTAAAATGAACTACCATCAGAATTCAAAGGACCCAAGAGAATCAAAAGACTTTCTACTTTTAAGCAAAATGAAAGAATGATGATTTTCTACTAGTTTTGGCATATATTGTAGTTCTGTCCCAACTTCAAAATATGGCTTTCTCTACTTAAATCCCTCTTTCAATCTTAATTCTTCCTATCCTTTCTTGACACACACAGTTAAGAGCCTTTAGACAATGACCCTCTGAGCTCTGGTTTTCATCTATATTCTTTGGATATCTTTTCCTTACTCTGGAGAGAGAATCCCTTAAATAAGGATGGTGAGTCAGTTTATATCTTGGCTCAGGACATCACAGAAACATGACATTCAAATCATGAAATTTGCTGAAAGTAAAAGTCACGGAAGAGTCTTCTTAAGATTCACTTAAGACAGATACTGTAGAACATACAAGTCTGTGTTCCTGTTAAAAATGTATTGAAAAAGAAATCATATCATGGGGGAGGTACAATTTTAGAGGTTGAAAGAAATCTGAAATAATTGGGGATCTTCTTCCTCAACTAAATTGGATTCTTTGACAATAATATATCACAATTAGGGCTACCAAATGTCAACAAATTTTAACTTTTAAAAATAAAATAAGAGAACTGTCTAGTCTAACCATCACATTTCATGAATGAGAAAACTGAGGCCAAGAGAAAGAAAATTATTTGCCCAGGGTCACATAACAAATAAAAAGTAAAAACAGAACTAGACCCAAGGTAAGTTACCAATATAAAAGTAAAAGTAAATCACAAAACAAGTCAGATTAAGTCATATTTTTAAAATCCCATAGAAAATCAAGTCTGATTCTATTCCTATTACTCTAACGAATACCGTTTAAAGACAACAATGGAATGAAATTCTACTATACTTTGCTGTTTGTTCCTGAAAGCTATTTGCTAATTTACAGGAGTTATTTAGTGACAGTAAAGCCTTCAATGACAAAAACAAATCCATATGTTAGAAATAAAATTAAGTGGCAAAGATAGTATTAATTTGCTTGATTTCTGTAGATAATAGAACCAGGTTTATAAAACATAAACAAAATATATATTTGAAATTCTAGGCTTTAACTTGAAAGCAATGATTTACAATCATAGGTGCCTGTCAGAAAATCCCTACAAATATTAAAAACAAAATTTTCATTTATTTATTTAACAAATCTTTCTAATAAAAATCTGGCACCAATGGAGTAATGGAGTTACAGGAGGGAAAAATACTGGCAATACTCCTGCTCTCATGGTATCTACATTCTACTATGGTGGAGGAAGACTAGAAAAAAATAAACGAGCAAAGTAAATTCACAGACTAACACGTGCTTTAAAGATAATAAAAAAGTGTCAGAGCAGATCTATGGTAGCTACTCCAGATCTTGCCACAAATAGTACAACTTTGCTACTTCTGAAATGGATGAGTGGAAAGCAGCTATTTAAGAACTAGACTTAACCAACCATTTTCTCACTAGAATATTATGGTGTTTAGCAGTAACTGCAACAATAGCAGTAGCAGCTAATGTCTACTAAATCTATGTGCCAGTCAGCAATCTAAATGCCTCAAATGAATTACCTAACTTTCTCCTCACAACTCTTTACTACTTAGACATAATTTTCAGCATTTTAAAGAGAGATTACATAACTTGCCCAAGGCTAAATAACTAATAAGTGACAGAGACAATTTTCAAATCCAAGCTGCCTGGTTCCAGGTGGTTTTCAACCCTGGCTACATAACAGAATCACCTAAATACTACCGCCCAGGTACAAACCCACCAGAAATTCTGATTCAAGTGAACTGGGTTAGGGGCCAAAGTTATTTATACATTTTAGACTTCTCCAGGTGATTCTAATGTATACCCAAAATGAAGGCCTACTATCCTAACCCTAGACTAGAGAACAAGAGACAAGACTGGAAGATGTGGGTAGTAATAACATGCTTCTGTATCACTTCGTAATCCCACCAGATTATCTCAGATAATCTCATATTATCTTCTTAAGAAGTCGGCTGGGAAAATACTAGTACAGTTTTTTTGGCTGACAAAACAGGTTCTTAGAGGTTTATCAAGTATTGGTGAAAGTATGGAGAAATAGGTATCCCCACAAATACATGATATCCTCAAACTTAATTTTGGCCAATTTGATAAGTGAAAAGTGGTATTGTTTTTTAAAAAATTTTGCGGGTACATAGTAAGGGTATATATTTGTGGGGTACATTAGATATTCTGATACAGGCAAACAATGTACAACCATCACATCAGGCAAATGAGGCAGCCATCACTTTAAACATTTATCCTTTCTTTGTGTTCAAAACAATCTAATTATATCCTTTTAGCTATTTTAAAATACACAGTAAACTACTGTTGACTGTAGTCACCCTGTTGTGCCATCAAATACAAGATCTTATTCATTCTATTTAAATATTTTTGTACTCATTAACCATCCCCAATTGTCCTCCACCTCCCACCTCCCTCCCCTCATCCATTATTCCCAGCCTCTGGCAACCATCCTTCTACTCTCCATCTCCATGAGTTCAATTGTTTCCATTTTTAGCTCCCATAAATAAGCGAGAACATGCGAATTTTTTCTGTGCCTGGCATATTTCACTTACCATAATGACCTCCAGTTCCATCCATGTTGTTGCAAATGACAGGGATCTCATTCTTTTTTATGGCCAAATAGTACTCCTTTGTGTATATGTACCATATTTTCTTTATCCATTCATCTACTGATAGACACTGGTTGCTTCCAAATCTTGGCTATCGTGAACAGTGCTGTAATAAACACGGGAGTGTAGTATATCTTCAATGTACTGATTTCCCTTCCTTTGGCTATATATGCAGTAGTGGGATTGCTGCATTATATGGTAGTTCTATTTTTAGGGTTTTTTTTTTTTTTTTTTTGAATCTACAAACTGTTCTCCATAGTGGCTTTACTAATTTACATTCTCACCAACAGTGTATGAGGGTTTCCTTTTCTCCACATCCTCACCAGCATTTGTTATTGCCTGTCTTTTGCATCAAAGCCATTTTAACTGGGGTGAGATGATACCTCATTATAGTTTTCATTTGCATTTCTCTGGTGATCAGTGATGTTGAGCACCTTTTCATATGCTTGTCTGCCATATGAATATATTCCTTTGAGAAATGTCTATTCAGATCTTTTGCCCATTTTAAAATTGGATTTTTTCCTATACAGTTGTTGAGCTCCTTATATATTCTGGTTATTAATCCCTTGTCAAATGGATAGTTTGCAAATATTTTCTCCCATTCTGTGGGTTGTTTCTTCACTTTGTTGTTTCCTTTGCTGTGCAGAAGCCTTTTAACTTGACATGATCCCATCTGTCCATTTTTGCTTTAGCTACCTGTGCTTGTTGGTTATTACTCAAAAAATCTTTCCACAGTCCAATGTCCTGGAGAGTTTTCTCAATGTTTTGTTTTAGTACTTTCATAGTTTGAGGTCTTAAATTTGAGTATTTAACTCATTTTTAGTTGATTTTTTTTTTTGTCTCTTAAATTAATATTTTTATTTTTTATTTATTTATCTTTCTTCTCCACACAGGAGACATGGAGCCCACTTACAAACTAGATCCAATTCCATGAAATCCAATGTTTTTACATAATTAATTTTATGTATACTAGTTTTTCAAACGTGCCAACAATTTTTGTGGTGTCAGGCTGACATGTAGCTTTAGAAAACATTATTTCTAGAATTATACACATAACATTGCATTACAACAAACAAAAGTCATTTTTAAATAGGAATATTCTAATGAAGAAGTGTTGTGTTTCATTCTCTAACAAAATTTAGATCCTTTAAATACCATATTCAACTATTTCACTGACATTCTGGTGGGCTTCCCTGGGTTACTCTTACCTAATAATAAATTATCAGGGATTATTTTTTATTTTTTATTTTTTTTTAAATTTATTTATTATTATTATACTTTAAGTTCTAGGGTACATGTGCATAACGTGCAGGTTTGTTACATATGTATACTTGTGCCATGTTGGTGTGCTGCACCCATCAACTCATCAGCACCCATCAACTCGTCATTTACATCAGGTATAACTCCCAATGCAATCCCTCCCCCCTCCACCCTCCCCATGATAGGCCCCGGTGTGTGATGTTCCCCTTCCCGAGTCCAAGTGATCTCATTGTTCAGTTCCCACCTATGAGTGAGAACATGCGGTGTTTGGTTTTCTGTTCTTGTGATAGTTTGCTAAGAATGATGGTTTCCAGCTGCATCCATGTCCCTACAAAGGACACAAACTCATCCTTTTTTATGGCTGCATAGTATTCCATGGTGTATATGTGCCACATTTTCTTAATCCAATCTGTCACTGATGGACATTTGGGTTGATTCCAAGTCTTTGCTATTGTGAATAGTGCCGCAATAAACATACGTGTGCATGTGTCTTTATAGCAGCATAATTTATAATCCTTTGGGTATATACCCAGTAATGGGATGGCTGGGTCATATGGTACATCTAGTTCTAGATCCTTGAGGAATCGCCATACTGTTTTCCATAATGGTTGAACTAGTTTACAATCCCACCAACAGTGTAAAAGTGTTCCTATTCTCCACATCCTCTCCAGCACCTGTTGTTTCCTGACTTTTTAATGATCGCCATTCTAACTGGTGTGAGATGGTATCTCATTGTGGTTTTGATTTGCATTTCTCTGATGGCCAGTGATGATGAGCATTTTTTCATGTGTCTGTTGGCTGTATGAATGTCTTCTTTGAGAAATGTCTGTTCATATCCTTTGCCCACTTTTTGATGGGGTTGTTTGTTTTTTCTGTAAATTTGTTTGAGTTCTTTGTAGGTCTGGATATTAGCCCTTTGTCAGATGAGTAGATTGCAAAAATTTTCTCCCATTCTGTAGGTTGCCTGTTCACTCTGATGGTAGT